ATTCAGCTCGTTCCTGGAACTTGTTTCCCAGTTTCGAAACCAGAGCCCAGGGCTTTACGGGCCTTAGATTTTCTCTGCTCATCTCGTGGGGGTTAAGGATCTTCCACCAGTTTGTTTGTTTTTTATTTCATTCCAGAGTTGCCATGAAAACCGACTTCTATAGAGACCCTCCCTTGACTTTTTATGGGGAAAGTTTACAAAATCGTTTTGGAAAATTAGATTAACTACACCCACTGATTCACCTGAAATCTGGAAACGGAGGAGGCTGTCCTGTCGGTTGGAGCGTGGGCTGGCTGACCGTCAGTCGATGCACACAGGCGTCGGTATTCAGGGCATCTCGGTGCCGGGGAAGAACCGAACTTCCGACACCCAGAGTTATTACTCGGTAGCTGGCACGGACAAGGACAAAGGTGTGGGGACCATGGGGAAAGAGGTCTGTCCAGCTCCAGTTAAGCTGCTGCGTTGATAAACCGACAGCTTGAACTCCCGAGTTCTGCGCTTCCAGCCGGAGCAGTTTGACAGATTCGAGCTGGCAGCCGCGCCCTCCAGGACGAACACGGGGCGCCAGAGGGTGATGAACTCCTTCTCGCTGTCCCGCACGGCGACAGTTCTGACCTGTGATTGTCTCTTGTTTACGATCCCAGAATCCCATTGGACGAGGGTAGGGCCTTATTTTGACGCCAAAGGCGTTTCTTCTTAGAACTTCCTTTATAATCCTCTGAGACCAAGTTTCTGCTCTTGGCCAATTCAGTATGGATGTTCTGTGTGGATATGACTCCCCCCACCCCTTTTTAAAAAAAAAATTTAGGTGAGTACTCTATTTCCTTTCTATTTCTTGGTTTATTTTGTTCTGTAGTTATTTGCTATTAATATTTAAACATATTCTTAACAGGCTATCCCTAATGAGTAATACCTTTTACAAAACACATGATCCCTTGGCTATTTACTGCATAAAGAAAATATACATTGCGTAAATTATTCTGAATGATATGAAAAATCAGAACCTTCAGCCACCTAGCAAATGGCAACATTTCTCCCTTATTTTAAGAAATGTTATTGGATCTCAGCCCACTTTCTACCCTTAAAATCACTGAAGACTCCAAAATGATTCTTTCAGTGAGTTACCTCCACTGACAGTCACCATATTAGAAAGGAAAACCCAGACACTTACAATATTTACTTGTTTGTTTATGAAGAACAATAATAAACCCAGTGCCTATTAACAGAACATGCTTTATGGAAAATAATGATCTTTTCCAGAACAAAGACGTATTAGTGAAGAGAGTGGATTGTGGGTGTTTTTTTTCCCCCATTTTGCCAATCTCTTTAGGGTCTGGCTTGACGGGAGACTGCTGGATTCTAGTACCTCTCTCCGAGTCCCTCTGTTCTCAGGTGCTGTTTTCTAGCCCCTTTGAAAAGGACCTCTGTGGGAAAGAGGTGAGTTCGGGGAGGGGACAGAGGCTAAAACAAGATGATACATGTCACATGTAGGTTCTGAAAGCACATAAGAGCATCAGGTCTAAGGTCTACAGTAGCAAGAGTGACCCCCGACCACACCAGCCAGTGTGGGTGAGGCCCAGAGAAAGCCTCATTCCAGGGTGAGCCTCGTCCTGAAACTCACAGAGGTCCACTTTGCAGGTACAGAGCTCCAAGGAGCACCAGCAGAATCTGTCCCCGGAACTTGTTTCATGTATTAACTCAGTCACTCTAGTGGCCATAATAACAGGCCGTAGATGTGCAATATCATTACTTAGCTATTTTTATTAGCTAAGGATAGCATCTCTAAGCTTTCACCAGGTTGTAGCTGTCCTGACGTCTCCATGAATTATAAAGGTAATTGTCCCTCCAGACGGCCTCTTTCTCTAGGCAGCTCTTGAAACATCCTTTCGGCTTCCCCTCCCTCAGGGCCCACCAGCCTCTGATGCCCTCTGCAGATCGCCAGGCCCCTGAAGGACAGGCTGAGGAGGGCCCACTACCTTCGCTCAAGTTCCTGCCAAGCTCAAAAGTTGGTGGGAAGCAAGTCCTCGGGGGTTAAAGGAGGGCTTTGGCCTTTGATTGCCTTGTTCTGACTCATGTCCCAGGAAGGGACGCTTCCCCTTCTTGGCAGGAGGGTGCCCTTTCTCCTGGTGGCTGTACAATTGAGTAGGCAGCTACTTTTAAGGGCAAGTTCACGCACATCCCATAATTGATACATGTCTAAAAGGTAGCAAGAGTCTGGAACAGATCTACAAAGTAGTTAACAAAGTAGCGATATTTTAAGTGAAATGTAGCTTCCCATGGGGGCGGTCTACTGTCGGGTTTTTTCAGGCTCGTGGGGTCTCTGCGTCCTCCCTACCCGCCTTTTTCACTTCTCCCAACGTCTGCTGGGGGGCGCCCTTGGCCCATGGCTCACTCTTTAAGGAAGGAGAAAGTGAGCTTTGGAGAAGGGAGGGGTCATTTCCCAAGGTCAAAGAACGGATCAGTGTCAGAGTTGGGACTAGACTCTGGATGTGTCTCATCTAAAAGCCCAGAATCTTTGTAATGTGAATAATACATATTTTTACAGAAAGGATTCTAATTATTTCTAATAGTCCCACCTGCATTTCCAAAATCGTCGCAGTATTTTATTTTTTCTGGTGATGCTCCAAGTAACAAGCATGGAGAAGGAATTCTTCCAGAGCTTGCTTCCTAGTTGATCATTACAATTTTTCACAGTATCCGGGGGAGCAATTCTGGGACTGAGACCCTTCCCTGGACACCGGGCCTTTGTTCAGAGCCCTGGCCCTACCTGGAGTGGCCAGCAGAGGGCGCCCTCCCTCTGCAAGGCTGGATGGAGAGCTGACTACCTGGGCATGTTTTTGTCAGGGCAGAGGACAAAAGCTCCCAGCGGTGCAAGTGGAAACAGGTGAGACCTTTTATGACCTGTGCTGAGGATTCACGCGTGGTCGCTTCCGCTCACATTCCACTGGCCAAAGCATGTCACGTGGCTGGGCCAAGTGAGGGGTCACGGAAGCGCGTACACCCTGCACACCTGAGACCTCAGCAGAGGGTGCTAACAGCAGGGTGTTCTACCCCAGGGGCGCGAAGGACCAGGGCCAGTGCGTCAACCTGCCACAGTCCACGTGGAGCGCAGGGATGGCGGCCAGGAGCCCGGTCGAAGGTCAGAAATGTGAGCCCGCTACAGTACCCTAGGAGAATTTTGCGCGACTTGGCTTTTTTCCACCCCTGTGGCTGGATTCAGGAGCAAGGGAGATGGTGTCAGGCCATCAACTCCAATAAAGAACTAAAAGGTCGATTCCTTGCGTGTTCTTGTATTTAATTATTAACCACCCACCACCCACAGAAATGCATTCTACCCAACTACCTCGATGGCCGGCACCAGTTACTCCCCGTTCAAATGAAGATGAAGTCTGATCTCACTGAACTTGAAATCTTGGAGGGATACGGCAGAGGCAGAGCTCCAATATCGGACATCTGGTCAACTCCACGGTTCAAGATGAGGACGCCCAGGCAGAGACCAGGGACCAGACTTAACAAAGCCACTGACACGGGGATGTACGTGTTCAGTGTCTTGTCCCCGCTCCGGCCCTCTGTCCCTTCTTGTTGACAGTTACACACTTGCACAAATGGGGGGTGATGGTGTCCCAAGGCCATGACGGAGCCCATGGGGAGGAGGGTTCAGAGTCCAGAATTCAGGAGGGTCCCCTCTGAAGAGTTAGACCAGGCTCTCTCCTCCACCAAATCGCAGTCAGCTGCCCCCAGCTCTCTCCACCAGGCCTCTACCTTGGGTGCCCCGCCCCGGACCCCTCCTGTCCTTGACCGACCCAGCCTGGGTTTGGCAAGAATCTCGCTGAGTCATCCCTGAGACGCCCCCACGCGTGCCTATCTCTCTGATCGATCTAGCCTGCCATCTGCAAGAATCCTGTTAAATCGGTTCAGCGAGAATCCGGCAACCCCCGCGCCTCCCCTTAAACTCTCACTGACTGACCCCTCACTCCGTTGGGCTGCAACTCCCGGAGGTGACTTCGAGGAGTTCCGAACTGAGTGGGTGGCTCTCCCCCACTCGCGACAGTCTGGACGGACACCTGCCTCAATAATCCCTGGAAAATCTTCCTTTCCTTTTTGACAAGTGTCAGAATAATTTTTTCCCCCAAACGCGTTCCCAACAAAACCCAAGTCCAGAAGCTCGTTCTGTGTGGAGAAGGGCTTCGGCCTTCTCCACACACTTTAGTTGTACTGTCCACGGGGAAAAAAAATTTTTTTTAACATCTCCGTGACGATCATTTCAGACACCTCCTCCGTCCCGAGATTCCACGTATGGGGTTTAACAGGCAACGACTGCACACACCAGGAAGTTCCTTCTCCCCGCGTATTAGCAAGTTCTGCACACGTGTGTGTTAGGATCCAGCGGGAGCGTCCCCAAATACGCACACGCACCCCACCCGCCCCTGCAGCCCCTCGCTGGGCTGCGCTGCACCGCGCATTTCTTGAAGAAGAGGGTGCCAGGGTGCAAACCACGGGTGAGCGCCCAGGAGCACAGGGGCGTGTGCACCCGGTCACACTGGTTAAAACGCAGACCCGGTCGGTTCCTGCCGCCTCCACCGGAGGTCGCGCGCAGCCCACAGGAGGCCGAGTGCACCCGGGCGCGCGGGGCGGCCGGAAGCCGCGGGACGAGGGTGGGAGCGGGCGCGTCCCCGGGCGCAGCGCCTGGTGACATCAGCGCGCTCCGCCCCTCGCCTCCCAACACGCTCAGCTCGCGGCCCGACCCTCCCTCTCCCACCACGTGTCCACGCGCTCCCTCCCGAGGGGCTGCGCGCTCGGGCCGCCGGAGAGACGGCCGGGATGGCGCTGTGACAGCGGGGCCGGAGCTCTCGGCGCCCCCCGAGTCCCGGCCTGCGCCCCGGCGGTCGGCCGGGAGGTGGGTGCGCGCGGCGGCGCCGAGCGCGCGTGTGGGGCGGGGGCCAGGAGGCGGGGACCCTCCCGAGGCCGGGCGGCGGGGCGGGGGCCGGGGCTGCAGCTGCACGGCCGCCGCCTTTGTTGCGGGCCGGCGGGAGGCGGGCGGCGCCGGCGCTCGGCAGGTGCGCGGGGCCGGACCCGGTCGGCCGCGCGGGGGCCGCGGAGAAGGGAACTGGGACAAGATGGCTGGAGAGACCGGAGCGGCCCCAGGCGCCGGCGGCGGCTGGTGGCCAGGCCCCGGGCACCCCGCCTCCCATCCCGGACCCGCTGCCGGGGAGCCGGCGGGGAGGCCGCGGCCAAGTTGGGGCCCCGGCTCTCGGATCTGAAGCCCGTTCCGCGCGCCCCAGACCCCTCCCTGCCGCCTTCGCGCGTCCTTTCCGGAAATATGGAAGAAGCCGACTTTGAACTCGAGAGCGGTGTTTTCTCCGGCTGCTGGGGAGGACGCCGCCCCCAAGACGCGCCCTCACTGCGCGCCTAGTGACTGCCTGCCCCCAGAGGGCAGGAGCGCGTCCCTCTGTGCCGCCTCCCCGCTCCGCAGGAGAGGGCACTGGCGCCCAGCGACGGCGAGGCAGCTCCTGGGGCCCGGCCGCTGCAGGTTGGCGCACCCTGTCGGGTGTCCCTGCGTCACCCCTCACTATGAGTCGCTGGCTCCAGAATGACCGTTTTCGGAGTGGTGGCCGTTCTGAGCCGAGCCGCCCCCTGGTGCGGGAGCGGCCTGTCTGCGCTCCGACGCCTTCAGCGATTGGAAGCCGACCGCCCTCTGGACCGCGGCCAGGTCTGGGCGGCGCTGGCTGGGGGCAGCCTGCCTTTCCCAGCGCTCTTCCGGGATGTTTGCTCACGCCGAGTGTGCCCCGAGATCTGTACAGAGCCGGTCTGGTCTCCGCCACAGAGCGCCTTTTAAATCTTTTACTTATTGATTTTAGAGAGGGAGAGGAAGGGCGAGAGACAGCGACGCATCGATTTGTGGCTCCAGCCATTTGTGCTTCTATTGGCCGAGCCTTGCATGTGCCCCGACTGGGGATGGAACCCGCAACCTTGGTGTGCGGGGAGGACGCTCTGACCAACTGAGCTGCCCCACCAGAGCCCCCGGAGAGCTTTTAAAATATTTGAAGGCCCCTACGTATGTTCTCTGCCTGCAGCCCTTCCTTACACCTTGATTAAAGGTGCCCCCTTCCAGCCTCCAGCCCTGCCGGGCTTCCTCCTGGGCCTCGCTGTCTCCTGCCTTCATCCCAGCCAGCAGAGCTGGGGCTAAGAGGCTGTGTGGGCAGACCGCCCCCCTCCAATCCCCACCCCTTCAGGTCGGGAAGAGCTCACACCAGTCTTGATTTCTCTGAATGCATCCTGCTTGCAGACATGGAACCCACAGCCTTCCCTCTGAACCTGACCCTGAAAGTGGAGGAAGGGGAAGAAGAGATTCAGAGCCGGGAACTGGAGGATGGTCCCACAGACACGCAGAAGGTCCGCATCTGCTCGGAGAGCGCGTGGGTAAGTCCAAGTGTGGGGGGCTTGGGGTGCTCGCAGCCGAGCAGCAGGGCCCGGGAGCCGGGCTTTGCGTGAAGCCCCCCCCCCCTTCAGCCCCAGGTCGGACACGGGAAGTAAAAATAGCCCAGCCCTGCTCGGGCATTTGCGTGCTGGGGCCTTAAAAGGTGCTGTGGAAACCTAGCTGGTTCCCTGGGCGGCCCACCTGCCCACCCAGGAGGCCGGGCCCAGCCTCCCCTGGACCCTGTGTTCCCTGCATCCCGCCCGTGGCCAGCCACGTGGTCGGCACCACTGAGCGTTTGCTGACTTACGTTGGAGAGAAGGTGCTCTGACTTTGGTGAGGCAGTGAGGACAGTGTCAGGGTGTCACAGCAGGGACAGGGATCTGGCTGCACCCGGGACACAGTCAAGACCAGTGGGGTCTTAGAGCCAGGAGGCAGCGTGGCGGGTCCGTGAAGGAAGAGGGACCTGGGGCGGGGGCAGCCCCAGGGTGCTCGGGTATCCAGGGTTGGGTGGGGGCTCTAAACTGACTTGGCAGGATTCTCAGTAAAACTGCACCGGGCAGGCTGAGGGCAGGAGGGGACCTCACCGGGAAGAGGGCTAGGGACATCCTGAAGGTCGGGCAAGGAGAGAGCCTGTCACCCGCTGCTGGTGGAAGGGACCAGGCTTCATGGGGCTGGCGGGGGGAAGGCTGTGCTCCCCGCAGGCCTGGGCAGAGGAGGGGCTGGGGGGTGGCAGCTGGAAGTGTGGAGCACCCCCAGACGGACGGACAGTTATAATTCCGTCTGACTATTCGCGGTGAATGGTAACATTTTCAGTAGCAACAAGGTGGCGTTCCTTCCCTCTGCTTCTGGGCGTCGTCAGCAGCATCGTCACCTCCTGTGGGTTCTGTGACGTCAGTAGTCAGAGAGTCGTGGTGTTGCCAGGTCGGTGGCTCCCTTCCCACCCGAGGGAGCAGGGTGCAGGGAGCTGACCCTGTGCCCCAAGGATACACGTTCTTGCCGATTGGTCTGAAAATGCCTGCTGAGCTGGACCCTTCCAGGGTATGCATTCTCTTGCGCCCGTGTCCGGTCTCAACAACGTGGACTAAAAATGCAGTGTTACCCCAGGCTGTGGTTCGTGGGCCCAGCGGTGGAGGCTGCACCTGTGCCTGCCTCTTCCGTGTTTGTTGGCCACCTGTGCTCCTGCTGCCTCTGATCCCCCGCAGCTGGGGACACCCAGGAGGACCCGTGGAGCTCAGAGCAAGACCTTGAGCCGCAGGAGCCCTGGGCTTTGAGGCCAAATCAGCCCGCTCAGCACATCTGTGTTTCAGAATGGCGGACCTTGGAGACAGGTGCAGGAAAGTGGGCGCCCGAGGCTGTCGGGACAGTGAAAAGGGTACAGGGTGAAGACCGCTGCCCCGGAGAAGGAGGAGGAAGATGGCACAGTGCCGGGTGCTGTTGACAAGACCTCCCCTGTGGTGGAGTGGCAGGTCTGGTGAGGAAGACAGGGACGCCAGCAGAGGGCGGCGTTGGGGCTGCCGCGCCGGCAGCTCCTGGGGTAGGAGGTGCACTCTGGCTGCAGGGCTCAGGGCGCAGGAGGCTTGCCAGAGAAGGCAAGCCTGGGCCCGGCCCAGTGCACAGGCAGCCCTGCCCCCAGCCACCTCCGCTCCTGGGGACCTCTGTGGTTGTTGTGCCTCGGGGGGAGGGGTGGTGGTTGGGGAGTGGAAGAGCAGGTTGGCAGCATCTCCTGGGTAGAGGCGCGGGTCATTACCGAGCATCTTCAGTGCCCGCAGCAGAGAACCATATGAGCAGAAATGCCAGTTGTGCCCAAGTGCAATGGCCCTGCTCTAGGGCACGAAAATTGGGGGCTCGAGTTCCAGGCACGCGGAGGGCCCAGCGCCCCAGTGGCAGCCTCGAGGGCAGTGCTGGGGGCAGATCAGGGAGCCAGAACCTGAGCCAGAACCTGAGATCCAGGCGGGAAGAGAAGCGAGAAGTGGGCGGGGCCGGAGGGTGGGGTGTGCGGGGCGGAGTCGGAGCTTTCAGTCCCTGGGGGAGGAGCCTGCGGCATCTCCCCAGCTGCCACCCTTGTGCGCGGGTCAGTGTGCCTGGGCGCTGGGGGCGCTGGTCCTGCGGATCAGCCCTGGGTTGCCGGGCTGCCGGGTGGCGGGGCTGCAGGAGGAGTGTCTTGCCGGCCTGGGCCGGAGCGGAGGAAGGGGGTGAGGCCAGGAAGGGCGGCCAAGGTGGACCCTTCCACTCAGGTGCCGGGTTGCCTGGCGTCTCAGTCTTGCCCAGGGCTTGGCCCTGCCTGCGTCCGTTGTGCTTGGCCAGATAAAAAGGCCTCTATGGAGGGAGGGTGACACAGCAGGGCCTGGCGGGAGCCGGGCTTGGTGACCGTCACCAAGGGCAGCTGTGAGGGGACTGTCTGAGCCGCACTCTGAGTGCCCCTGGAGCAAAACATGGGCATGTGTGACGCCACTCTGCGGCTCGGTCACCAGCCTCTGGCTGCCGCCTCACTGCGCAGGCGCCTGGATGGATGGGCATCACCTGGCCCAGAGCCCCTGCGTCCCTGAATGGACCACCCCTCTGAAATGGCAGGACAGCCAGCTCTGGGTCCCCGGTTATCCGAGAAGGGAAGGGACTATAAATAGGTACAGCCCAGATCTGGAATTTCCTTGGGAGAGCGCAGGCCACGGGGAGCTGTGGAAAAGCCTGGAAGGGGTGGGGACGTGGGGGCGGGGCTTGGGGACGGTGCTGGCGGGAGGTCCAGGTGGATGAAGTCTCCAGGCAGCGCGAGACCCAGCCGCGTGGCCCTCCCGGGATCTCACACGTAGGGAGTTTTGTCCACTTGTACTCCAAAGTCTAGGCTCACTTTGCTGTCACATAAAAAGCATCACTGTCACGTGAGACTAGTGCAGGCCGAGTGAGAGAAGGGAGCTTGAGAGTTTAGCTAATTCGGTGCTGAAGTGAGGAACCCGGGCTTCGCCCTCGGTGAGCTGGTGGGAGAGGTGGACATGAGGCCCAGTTCTCCCCCGTGGGTGAGAGGATGTTCAGTGTGCTAAGTGTCACCGCAGAGGTGAGCTGGGGTACAGTTGGGCTTGGAGGTGGGGACGGTGGAAGCCTGGCCACCGAGGAGGCCTCTTGGCTCTGCAGGACTGGGGCCTGGGGGTCGGACAGTGCCCAGCCCCGTCTTGGCTGTGTCCTTGGACAGAAAGTAGCCCTCTGTGAGCCTGTTTCCTCCTTGATGCATTGCAGTGGTTGGGGGGACAGAGAGTGAGCTCCAGGGCACTCCTGGGGTGCTCCTTGAGTGTTGAGCTGTGGGGGTGGGGTGGGGGTACGTGGACTGGGGGGTGAGGAGGAAAGGCCCATGCCTGAGGGACTGATGACCGGGTGCCCGGGGCAGTGGTCGGTCGTGCGTGCAGCTCATTTTCTACGCTGGTGAGAACGTCATCGTCATCACCGCCTGGGCCCGAGATGCAGCCTGGGAACAGCTTTGGAAGTGGCAGCAGAGGGAGCCAGCTTGAGGGAAGGGGCCCCGTTGGGTCCAGAGGTTCCTCACTGCCGAATGCGGTGACCTTTGGAGGACCTTTAGTGATCACAAGGCAAATAACGTAGTCAAAAGAAAAGCAAACAGTTGCATAAAAAAGAGGAGGTTGGTGTGAGTGGTGTGGCCGCCTTTAGCTGCTGTGCGTCCCTCCCTGCTGGGGGCACGAGGGCGACAGTCCTCTGTCCTCTGTGCTCAGGGCTTCTGTGCCCAGGCCCCGTCTGATGAGTGTGCTCTGGAATGTTCTTACACACACAACCCTTTGTCCTCCTGTTTGTGTCTGAGACAGGCCAGTCGCCCTGCAGTGGCTGGCCCCTTGCTGGCTGCTCTGGGTTCAGGGTCCGACATGAGGGCCCAGGAACCTCTGAGGTCCAGACAGGGCAGGGATTTATTGAACTTACACCAAACTCAGCCCCGGCCAAGGGTCGTGACTGAGGGAGCGAGTGGGCCAGGACGTGGGGGTGTGGGGCCCCTTCTCGAAGGGGGGCTGGGTGTGTCCGAGCCTGGCTCTGGAGGGAGGAGGGTTACCAATCCCTGGCGTGTGTGTAGGGGGGGCACGTCCCCGGCCTGGAGCTTGGTGACTGGGGACTCTTCCTCCAGGTGCTGCGGTCCCTGCCAGTGAGCCAGTGGGGGTGGTAAGCCCTCAGGCCTCGGGGCCTCTTTTGCCTCTTGCGGCCTCACAGACAATTCCCCCGGGGCAAGGCCCCTCCCGCAGAGACGAAGGTGGGAGCCGCCTGCACGTCCCATAGCCCCTGAGAAAGGCCCGCTCTGCCCCAGGTGCCGGCTCTCTTCGATGAGGTGGCCATCTATTTCTCGGACGAGGAGTGGGAGGTGCTGACCGAGCCGCAGAAGGCCCTGTACCGGGAGGTCATGAGGATGAACTACGAGACCGTGCTGTCCCTGGGTGAGGCTTCACCGTCTCCTGGGGGCTCTGGGCCAAGAGAATGGGCGCATGTCCCCTGGGTCACGGAACCCACATCCCCATCTCCTGAACTTGGCCTCTGTGCCGTTTAACTCCTGTGTTGGACTCGGGCAGGGGTACGAGTATTGTGTCCTTCCACTCGGTGACCCGTGCTGCTCTCAGGACAGCCCTCATTCCACCCAGGTGTCCCCATCAAAAAAAAGCCAGACGTCACCTCAGAGATGTTGTCACTCTTGCCAGCCTTAGAAGCTTGGGGACACACCCCCAGGGAGCCTTGCCCGCTCGACAGGCTGCCAGGATGTAACTGCGGGGACCGCCCAGTCGGAAGGCTCGCTAGATCACTGGCTGCTAAAGGCCACTATTTTTGTGGCCGCCAGGTCCGGCCTGAGTTAGCAGAGAGCCGTGAACTCCTTGGAGAGGCCTATTTCCCATCAGACATTCTCTATAAGGACCCTGATCCCCTTTCCCCATCTTCCACAAATCTCCACAGTGAGAGGACCGGGGTGGGGGGTGGGTACCCTAAAGGACCGGCTTTGATGGCACTCAGAACCTGTGTTGCTTCCTCCGGACAGAATTCCCATTCCCGAAGCCGGACATGATCTCTCGGCTGGATGGGGAGGAGGAGTCTCAGAGTTCGGACCCATGGCAGCTCCAGGGAGGAAGCTTCGCAGGTACCACGACTACCCGGTCCAGCGCCCATCACGCGTGGGGTGCGGCCTTCCCGAGGCAGGGATTTAAGTTTCCACGTTTGTTCTGTGGGGTGCATGAGAGGGAGGCAGGAAGATTTGGGGCTTTGGAGTTTAAAAACCTCCTTTCCAGTGCTGTGTGGCGTCAGGTGACTTCCTTGACCTCTCTGAGGCTCCGTGTCTTCCACGGTCCCCTGTGGGGAAGACGTGTCAAAGTGAGAGCTCAAGGAAGCCAGCGGGAGCTCGTGGGGCATCGGGTCTGGCCTGCGCCAGACTGGCTTCACTTGCCTTCCCTCTGTGGAAGGGAAGGGTCGCAGATGCCACATCGCGTCGATTCTAAGACACACGTCCCCACCACCTCCCTGAAACTGAGCGCCTCTTAAACTTAGGGTGCGTCTCGCAGCCGGTGCCATCGTAGTTTGGGTGAGATGTGGTCACTTCCCCGAATCGTAGTCGGTCTCTGTGACCCCCTCCCTTCTGTAAACACGGTGAAACCCGGTTCTCACATGCACTGCTGTGCAAGGTGTGGTTCACCTGTGACTCGGCTGCGTTCTGTGCTGTGACGATGGCGTGGGTTATACTTCGCTTCCCGTCCACGTGGGAGTTATTTTGACCCAGACGTGGACCCCAGATTCCGACGTGACCCCAGCTCGTGCCTGGGCTCGGTCCCCGGCCGCCTCTGTCTAGCTCTGCTCCCCCGATGCCTTAACCTCTGTGGCCTCCTCTGCAGAGTGGGGGTGGTGACGCGCTAGGCGGTGGCATCCTTTATGAAAGTGGCGACTCTGGGGGACCTCGGTGGAGGTGTTCTCGGCGGTCCCACCAGCAAAGTCAGAACAGGCCAGACGTCACTGTACTTCCTGATGCTGTCCCTGCCCCTCCCTGTTTGTCACCCAGAACACGAAGACGCGGATGTCAAGCCCCCAGACTGGGCCGGCCCCGTGCACACAGCGTCCCTGTTCCCCCCGCCGCCCCCGCAGCCCCTGGACGGCTTCGGCCTCCGCCTGCCTCGGGACATCGCCGACCTGCCCGAGTGGGGCGAGGGCTACCCCTTCTACATGGCTGTGGGCTTCCCCGGGTACGACCTCTCGGCTGACGAGCTGGCCGCCAAGTTCCAGTTCAGCCGGGGCATGCGCCGCAGCTACGACGCCGGCTTCAAGCTGATGGTGGTGGAGTTCGCCGAGAGCACCAACAACTGCCAGGCGGCCAAGCAGTTCGGCGTGCTGGAGAAGAACGTGCGCGACTGGCGCAAGGTCAAGCCGCAGCTGCAGAACGCGCACGCCATGCGGCGGGCCTTCCGGGGCCCCAAGAACGGGCGCTTCGCCCTGGTGGACCAGCGCGTGGCGGAGTACGTGCGGTACATGCAGGCCAAGGGGGACCCGATCACCAGGGAAGCCATGCAGCTGAAGGCCCTGGAGATCGCCCAGGAGATGAACATTCCGGAGAAAGGCTTCAAGGCCAGCCTGGGCTGGTGCCGCAGGATGATGCGCAGGTACGACCTGTCCCTGCGGCACAAGGTGCCGGTGCCCCAGCAGCTGCCCGAGGACCTGACCGAGAAGCTCGTCACCTACCAGCGCAGCGTCCTGGCTCTGCGCCGGGCGCACGACTACCAGGTGGCGCAGATGGGGAACGCGGACGAGACGCCCATCTGCTTGGAGGTGCCGTCTCGGGTGACGGTGGACAACCAGGGAGAGAAGCCCGTGCTGGTCAAGACGCCGGGCCGGGAGAAGCTGAAGATCACGGCCATGCTGGGCGTCCTGGCCGACGGCCGGAAGCTGCCCCCCTACATCATCCTGAGGGGCACGTACATCCCGCCCGGCAAGTTCCCCAGCGGCATGGAGATCCGCTGCCACCGCTACGGCTGGATGACGGAGGACCTCATGCAGGACTGGCTGCAGGTGGTGTGGCGGCGGCGGGCGGGCGCCGCGCCCAGGCAGCGCGGCCTGCTCATCCTGAACGGCTTCCGGGGCCACGCCACCGACGCGGTGAAGAGCTCCATGGAGAGCATGGACACCGACATGGTCATCATCCCCGGGGGCCTGACCTCGCAGCTGCAGGTGCTGGACGTGGTGGTGTACAAGCCGCTCAACGACAGCGTGCGTGCCCAGTACTCCAACTGGCTGCTGGCCGGGAACCTGGCGCTCAGCCCCACCGGCAACGCCAAGAAGCCGCCCCTCGGCCTCTTCCTGGAGTGGGTCATGGTGGCGTGGAACAGCATCTCCAGCGAGTCCATCGTCCAGGGCTTCAGGAAGTGCCACATCTCCAGCAAGCTGGAGGACGAAGACGACGTCCTGTGGGAGATCGAGGGCGAGCTGCCGGGCGGCGGGGAGGTGCCCGTGGAGAGCAGAGCCGAGAGCCGCTGAACGCAGGCGTGGCTGAGGTGAGCGTCGGGGGTGGGCGCCCCGCCCCGTTGTGTCCCGCAGGTGCCTCTGGCCTTGCCGTTGTTTTCCTGCCTGTGCCAGACCTCGGGGGCCCACGCGCCGCGCCTCAGGTGCTGACTGGCGGTCGGCGTCGGCTCCTTCCTGGGAAACTCGTGTGTGTGCTTTGCTCAGGGGCCTGGACCCGGGGCCCTGGTGAAGGTTAACCTAACACCAGCAAGGGGACCGCGGCCAGGGTGTCTCCCATCGGCGCGGCGCTGCCGAAATTACCCGGCCCTGAGGAGCGTGGTCTGCCCGCTGGGTTGACGAGGTTTGGTCGGAAAAGCCCACGTTTTGTTCCTGTTGTGAATCGGGGTGATGCTTCTGGAATCGGGGTGACCCTCCCGGAGCAGACACGCCGTCAGACCCTGAACTCGGGGCTCACTCCGCCTGGGTGGTCTCACCTGGGAAGTGGGGGCATCGCTCACGCTGGCTTTTCCCAGTGTTTTAAAACATCGTTGTGACCTTTGCGGGGAGACAGCAGTGAGCGTAACGGCTCGCAGCCCGTGGTCGTCCGGAGGAAGGTGTTTTTAAATTGCACCAGAACAACAACGGAGGGTGCATGTCTATGACCGGCGGGCGGGCAAAGGCAGGGGGTGGGACTGGCCTGCGGTGCCGGAGTCGAGTGGAGAAGGGAAACAGCTGAGGCGGAAGAGGGGTCACAGGGTCTCCCAGGGAGGACAGCAGGCGCCCCCCCCACGTTGAGCAAGAATGGCCTGGACACATCCAGAAAGAACAGGAGACTCATGTCACCTTCTCTTCTTGTCCCTCCAAATGGTGTGTGTTTGGCAGGCAGAGGCTGCTCCTCCTCGGACAGGGGACCGAGCTGCCTCGAGTCGGCTTCCTGTGAAAGTGGTCGGTGTGTCCGTCTCTTGGCTTCTACCTCCAAAGGACACGCCGAGCGAGGTCTTGCCACCCCCTGCGTGCTGTCCAGACGGCCTCGAGTCTCCTGCCCCGCCCCCAAGTCATGTCCAGCTCCTGTCGCTGAACCCCATGCCACTGGGGGTCCTTAGAAGGGCAGAGGGCCAAGGAGTTCTTACGAGGACAGGAGAGATGACGAAAGTTGCTTTTTTTTTGTTCCCTGCCCTTCTTCCCCTGGATCCGGCCTCCCTTCTCTCTCAGCACTCACTGCCACCGTTGGGGGTCACACTGACTTCGGGTGACTTTGGTCCCTTTCTCACTTTACCTGTTGCTTCTCCTCGTTAGATACCATGTTTGTGCATTTTTAATTTCCAAGCTCCTTGCTGCCTTTCAGAGGGCTGTCAGACACTGCTTAGTGGCGGAGAGGGAGCAGAGCGATGCTTAGCTGCCCCGATGCACAGAGGCCCTGCTTGTCGGGATGCCCGGCGCTCTGTGCAGCTCACCCTTTCCAAGCCGAGGAGTCAGAGCCGTAGACAGGGCCTCCAGGGCCTCCAGGAGACCGGCGGGCGTTGAATGGCCCCTTCTGGTCATTGGATATCTGACGGATAGAAAAACTACGCTTGCAGAAAGTCCCCGGGTTCACTGATGCCTAGCTTCTGTCTTCCAGCACACGCCACTGTGTTTGAGACGGTGGGGAAGGAAAGCCCCCGAGGAGACTGCGCAGTGCAGATGCAAGGGGAGCGGCCCGTCTGGACAGCCGAGCCCCGCTGGCGTCCCGCCCCTCACCCGTGGGCTGCCGTGCGTCTGGGACCCTTCATTTCATCAGAGACCCGATTAGGAAAAGAAACTGCTTCTGCCCTTTTCTGCTAGTGGCGACTCCTGTGTCCGCCAGAAGAGACCTGTAAATACGACGCACGGAGGCATTTCCTGGAGAAGAGCCTGTTCGCTCGACACCAACAAAGCTTGTTGTGCGGATGGCCTTGGCCCCCTTTCTTGGCAGAAAAACCTCAAGTCACGGTCTTCTTCCACCTTTAAGAAGGCTTCCGGGGCCAGAGCCTGCCTGTCCCCAGCAGGGCAGGACCGCGGAGAAGGCCACGCCGAAACACATCCTGTGTGCACGTCACCCAGTTCCTCTTTTAGAGAAAGGAGACACCAGTGACGACGGGATTCAGACGTCCTGGCCGGGCGCCAGCCGGTGGCTTTTCTGTAGGTTCGTGGGGGACCCAGGTTAAGGCAAACGGCGCCGTCTTATTTATCTTCCCGATCAGGTTGGCAGCTAGACTTTTTCCGGGCCTCGTCGAATGGCCCCATTTTTCGTAGCGATTCTGTTTTAACGACCGGGCAGCGCTGGGCACCTGGGCGCCGCTGTTTCTCAGAGGTCAGCGTAAGTGGTCCGCTGCCCACATGGTACCAGGCGCCTGGCCGCCTCCGATGTTCATTTCCTTTGTTCCTTTAGTGTTTCTCCCGCAAGGGCGGGGAGAGAGGGTTTGGGTCTTCAGCCACAGCGGTTTCGAGCCTGGAACCTGCCACCCTCTGGAGAGGCGGGAGGCCTCTGAGTTTTTACACTGTAGTGATCTGCCTGCCCACGTGGATCGAAAACATTCCTTCGAAGCTCCCCGCGCTACAGCAGGCAGGCCACGACCTCCCAAAGCCATTGCTAGAAATGCCACCCCGGTGCCAGCTATGGGGACAGGCCTCCTCTGCCCTTCCCGTGCACCCAGCCCGCGCGTGTGTGACACGGTTCTCGGCATCTGGACACACCTATTTCTACTCAGGTACTCATTTTCCTATCCGTGAACCACTGCTGTCCTTTTCCAAGACCGGTTTTCCTCCACGTGGGGGGAAGTGTCCCTTAATTTCTGGTATCGGAGGAATTTTCAATATTTGAACTGTTTCCCAAACTGGACTGTGAGCTTCGTCATCTCGAGTGGCATCTGAACCCAGCTACTTGGCATTCCAGAAGTTTCCATTCCCTCCACTTGCACTTAAGTTATCTTCTGTGTCCTGGCTGTCCCCTGCTGCTGTCCTGTTCTACTTGCCTTGGGAGCGTCAAGGACTTAGTGAGACCTGGTGCTGGGCGCCCGCCCTGGAGCCGCAGGGGTCTGGCAGAGATGAGCAGGAAATGGGTCCAACTGCTGACGCCTTCCGCCGACACCTCATGTCCCCTGCGGGCTGCCCGGCACCGGGACGCACCTGGAGGGGTGGCCCTGCTCCCCGGCTCCCGAGGCACCTGCTTCCACTGACGCCATTCCGACCTCTGCCCGGCAGCCCCGCCCCAGCCGCTCTGGGGGCGGGGGGGGGGCGGTGGCCCCGGACCGACACTGGCACTCGCGGAGACGTAGCCACGCCCCAGTAGGTAGGTGCTGACCCCGACAATAAACTTGGATAAACGAGAGCACAGGCTGTGGCGGTTTTCTTACTAACACACCTGCTTGTGTGGTACAAAGTCACACGTCACCTGGGTCCCCTCACTGTCCGTGGTACCAGCACGTCACCCCCTGGGGTCAGAAAGCATCTCCTCTCGGGGCGGGGCTGGGGGGCACCAGGGGGAAAAGGCTTGTCCCCCCACCCCCAGTTGGGCGGCCCGGGGAGCAGCACGTTCCCAGAATCTCGAAGGGCGTCTGCAGCACAGTAACTGAGCGAGGGAGACGGTTTACTTTTCCTTGGTGGCCTTAGCTCACCTACAGAGCATGGAAGGAGGAGACGCTTACCTCATTTGGAATGTACTTCTTCATCTTTCTCGTCTAGAACATTGTTTGGAGACGTCTTGCTGAGGTCTCACTGCACAGGGCTTTTCAGGTGTCTGTAGACAGCAACACCCCTAACCTGTTCCATAAACAAACGGTTTTCTCCCAAAATGTTTATTTGTCACGTTTAAGATACAGAATCGAATACACAGATCCACCTACCGACCCATCTGTACCTATTCATACACTAATAACCCACAGAGAGTCCCATTCTAACGCGGCCGACCCCTGACCAGCATGGGTTGGAATGGCGGTGCGTACACTGGGACCTTCCGTGAATGCCCAGACTGCTGACCGCAGGTGGGAGTCCAGACGCTTCCACGCCGTGTCACGTCGGGGACTGGGGCACCTGCGGGTGTGGGCATCAGTGTTGGGGAGTCACAGATCACAGGCGAATTTGTGGCTGCGTCCCTCACGCCCTCACTGTTCAGGGCTGACCACACGGCCAGCAGCCCTCGAGGAAAAAGCAACGCGTGGGTGGAAAACAGACTCTGTTTGCAGCGACACTGCCAAAGGCCAGTTGTTTTCCCTTTACCATCTGAACACCAGGGACACAGTTCACAGGAACAGGGGGACGACCGTGTAGAAATGCAACCCGTCCGCATGGACCACTCAAACACCCCACGGGAACAACGAACAGGTGGACCCGTCCACCGCGGTCTTCGGGCCCGTCAGCCCCGGGAAGGAAATGGGAATCAGGAGAAGACAGTTCACAAGGTCGTCCCAGGGTGTCACCTGCCCGACACCTCGGGCAGAGCGCCCCCCCCACCCGGGCATCTCTGGAGGAAAGGTCCTGTTGGCAGGTCCCCGTCAGTCTGGGAGTGCGGACGGGCCAAAACCGCCCACTCTCAGTCCTCGGTGCGGGGGGGCGGGGCTCAGCACAGCAGCAGACCCTCCTTGGCGGCCAGGCGCTGCCTGTGCACCCGGTCCTGCTGCAGCTCCTCATGGTTCGGGTGCCAGAGCTTCGTGATGACCCTCTCGATGTTGAGGGCATACACGGTGTGCGTGGGGATGACCTCCCGGTGCACCTGGGGCAGACACGGGCGTCCTCAGTCACACTTCCAGAGCCACAGACCACGCCCACAGGAGACACACTAACCCGAGACCTTGGACCAGCACCCTGCGAATCCCAAACCAGCTGACGAGAACCCAGGAAAACCCAGGTCTGAAATGGGAATGAGGGGGCGAGGGCACTTTTTTCCTCTTCTTTCTCTTGCTGGGAGGTGGGGGCGGTGGGGATTAGAAGGGACCCCTGGGCCCAGGGTTTGAGTGAGTTATGGACAGCGAACAGTCCAAACCGGCAAACAAAAGGCCAGGAAGTGGGCCGGCTCCTGAAGGAGCCGAGAGTTACCTGCAAAGCTTCGAAAAGGTCGTACATGTTGACCGGGGGCAGGGACGCCGGGAGGGTGTCCCCCGAGCAGGCCAGCAGCAGCGCGGCCTGCTGCTCCGCGTCGTCGGGGTGCGGGTGGGACGCTGGGTTCTGGCCGGCACAAGGAGCGGAGAAGGCTGGGGGGCTGAGCACAGAGCGAGTCAGAAACAGTCCCGAGAGTTTGGACAGGGAGGCGGGGACTCACTCACTAACAAGCTCTTCCAGGGAAGTAGGGACCCAGATATTCTTTAGCTGGTGTGGAAAGGAAGAATCTGGGGCTTTCACTTTTAAAGGCAGCCCAGCCGTCAGGTGGGAAAGAAAATGTAGAGCGACATTGACCCCCTTCCCTCCACCACGTGAAAGCACCTACTACGCTCAGCACACACAGCCAGACTCGCCCCTGAATTGCTTCTGCCTGGAAAAGCATAGTGGACCTTAATTCAAGGAAACTGCAAACAGCGGTGAGGAGGAAGGCGGCTGGTGCCGAACCTACAGGATCCCAGAGAAGACGCCGGAAGCCGCGGCCCGCACACGGGGGGGCCACAGGTACAAACGCAGGGTTGGGGAAGGAACCCGGGTCTGGCCTGTTCCCGACACAGGCCCCAGACACACTCAGCGGGGAGTGGGCCGGGTTCCTGCGCCTTCACACGGGACAGAACCTGCATGACCGGGAGGGTCACAGAGCAGGGGCAGCCACGCTGAGGAGGGGACGCACCTGGGCACCCAGACGCAGCAGGTTGGGGACGCCGTCCCCGGATCCCACCCCCACGGGGAGCCCCCTTTCTTGGTTCATTGTTCTCTGCAAGAATGACTTACAAACGAGAACAGGTGCTCCAGGCACACAGGCCCACAGGAGACGGAGACTGTACGTCCTCACCCGCGTAACCTACGTGGTGAGCCCGGGTTGGGGAGGGCCAATGGGTGCTGGCCCCCGCTGCGGGCCCTGGGGGGTCAACACGTCCCTCCACCCTCTGCTCAGCCTCCCAGGCCCCTGCCTGTCACTTCACCAGCATCCTTCCCGCACGTCTCCTGGGACCCTGTTTCCCTGGGCGCGTAACCAGACACCCCAGGTCCGGCACGTGGGGAAATGCAGTCACTTCGGCTTCCACGAGCAAACTCCCATTACTTTTCTTTCCCAGGGGCTTAAAATTTGGACAAAATATTCTGGGAAGTGGCGGGGTGGGTGCAGAGATGAAGGTGTCCTGGATCCTCTCAGACAGGGGTGGCTCTGGGCGCCAGGGAGACCTGGGGCCCTGGGTCTGCCCAGCAACTGCCAGGAGCCAGGTGGCCACTGGGTCAGGCCACTCCTCTAAGCTACTGCCCCGCCCACCGAGAAGCCCCGCCCCCACCCAACAATCGTTCCCCCCCTCCCCCCCCCCCCAGCACTTCCCACAGAGAGCAGGCGCCCTCCACCAGGCAGGGGCTGCCCCGCAGGAGCCTCAGAAAGTGGGGGCCCTCATTTAAAGCACACGCAGCAGTCAAACTCTGTGACTTTACTTCCGCCAGGAAGGGCGTCACAACCCACCAGTGACCACGTGAGGCACCGGCGTGGGCCGGGACAAAGCACTGGACACCGGGGTACCCCAGGCTCCCCGAATCCAAAGCCCAAGCCTTCACAGTGGCCGCCCGGGCCGGACACGCGCCGACCGCAGGCCCCCGTACCTTTCCATCAGGCTGTTGTACACCACCACGCTGTTCTTCAGGTAGGGCTGCGGGGTCACGTTGCTGCCGAAGGCGTACTTGAAGTGGCCGTCCCGCAGCCGGTAGGCCTTCCTTCTCGACACGACGGAGGCCAATATGTCTTTTAGGTGGTTCTGTAGAAGCAAGGAGAATAGCGTGAAATCCCGTGTAAAAGCAAATCCTAACCCTTCCACTAACCCACTCACGGCCCCTGGCATTTAGTGGCTGGAGACGGGGACAGGCCGGCACCGCTGGGACCGTGCGAAGGTCCCCAGGGAGCCAGAGCCAGACCCGGGTGCCGGGGGGGGGGGGGGGGGGCGGATAGGAAGGCACGCTGCTCCCATCTGTTGTATTTAAGACGAGCTTGTCCTACAGGACGTTTTAAAAGGTTTTATGTCTCCAAACTATCTCCTGTCTCTCAAAAATGATTTTCAGATAGCCTGAAATAAAAGCATAAAAATAGGCGAACAATTTCCTAAAAAAGGGGCAAACCTTTAAAATGGGACAGAAAGTTTCTCGGATGTACTGGTTGTGGTGCGCCATCCACTGAAGTCCTTCCCTGTGGCTCTCCCACAAGCCCCGTGGACGACGGACTTACAGGACAGAAACAAAACACCGGGTGTTCAACGTCTCTTTGCCTTGGTGGCAGCCAAGCATGTAAGGGAGGGCTGGCAAAGGGGACAGCAGACTCGGTCCCAGCCACTGTCGGCCCAGGGACCAGGGATGGTGTCTCCGTCACCCCAGCGAGGGTGTCTCCCCGCAGGACTTCATGGCATGCAGCGTGTGACTTCCACACGCAGAAGTCACATGAAGTTTGTAACTTAGGATCTTTGAGGTGCAGCTGAGGGAAGGGGACCCCATGGCCCTGGAGCACCGGTGCCTGCAGACCCCCACGGGTCTTCTGTCCGACGACTAAATGGAAACACAGAGCAGTGAATGCCAGTGTGCTGAGCCTAAAGCCCATTGCACAGACGCCCAGGCTGCCACTCTCCAAGTGCCAGAGGTTTATCCTTAGGAGCCTCAATCTCGGTCTCCACCCTGGGTAACAAGGCGCACATCGGACCAAGCCTAAGCTCAAAGAATCCAAGGTGCCTCACGACAACTCTGAGGACAGAGGGACTTCACACACACACGCAAGCGCGCCACCCGCAACCTGCGCCGGCGCTCCGCCCCTGCGCTCCGCCCCCGCACGCCGACCTCCACGGCGCAGACCACCGCCGACACAGCCTCCTCGGTGACGTTGTCCAGGCCGTGCTCGTAGGCCGTCACGATCATCCTGCCCTCCAGCTGGCCGCGCGTGGGCAGCATCATGGTGTGGGAACAGAGCTTCAGGTCGTCGTCATCTTGGGGGTCCTTCGCCACAAACTGCTGGGCCCCCGAGAGGGGGTTCTGAGGCTGGAACCTGTGCTGAGAGAGGCGGGGTTTCAGGGTCACCCATCGTGGTGGCGAGGCGCGGGACGCGCGGGACTCAGCAGGCCGCGGGTTCGTGCTGCTGAGACCATGTGGCAGGGGTTAGAAAAACAAGACAGCAGTGACGTGCGCAGGGTCACCGAGTCACACGTGTCCCCAGGGGACGACGGAGACGTGTTTTGGGCAGCAGGGGCAGCATCCTGACATCCTAATCTCTGGCATCTCTATGATCACAGAAGAGACGGCTCTCTGCTAAAAATAACCACTGAAGAGGAGGAGAAGGCTGGAAACTATTTCCAAACAAGCCGGAGCACGTCGCGTACACTTCAGGGAGGCAGGTTCTGAACGTGCCATCAGCCCTGCGGTGAAGCCCTGACCCTGCCCGGCTCACCGGCCCCGAGACGCTGACACTGTTCAACGGCGGCTGAGCTGCTATTGTCTCCTAGGTGCAGTTCTCAACGCAGTTCTCCTTCCAAGGCGGCGTCATACTCACTTATAACCCTTTTTCGCTATCTTTGCCTGCTCATAAAACCTCTGCCTCCCCCTGGGAGCTTCAGAGAGCTCGGTTCTATCTCCTGCCCTCAGTGGGGGGCTCGCCCCCCGGCAGCTTTAGCTGCCGCCCAGCACATGGCACTTTGTAGCGGGAATGTGTGAGGTCTGCATTATTACAAAAGCAACAACTGCGCAGGTAAAAAACTGCATTTTTACAAAAAACACATCTGCTGGGTCCAAGTGGCCACCAGATGGAATATTAACGACATAAAACGCAGGAGGGCAGAGACACATGTTTGTGGACACAAACCTATAAAGCTAGTGATGCCCAGTCAAAATCTATAAAAGGGGTGTTTTGGAGAAACTTTGTTCCCTGGGTAGAAACTGGAAAAAGTAAGTAACTCTGAAACGCACACAAATTTTACAGCCAAACGCCTCTGGGGCTTCTCTGCTGAGCCCGAAGGCTCCGGCCCACGGGGCATGCAGGGGACAGCAGGTCCCCCAGCCCCGAGGACAGAAGTCACTGCAGAAAAATATTTCAGGGGAGGAAGGGCAGAGGCACAGCCGTTGAACCACTATAAAATCAATAGGTACTAATGATAACATTGATGGTTATGCAAAAAAAAAAACCCCCAGCATTATAACAATTCAGGCACCTCTCTGATTTCCCAGACAGTAACACCTTCCCCCCACCATGACACCCCCTTTTGTCCCCAACTCCATTACCAGTAACTTCATGACCACTTAAATATGCAAACCAGCCTTTACCAAGATCTCTTGAAGAGCAACCTACATCAAATTTCTGACGAACAGATGAAAGCTTCTTCCTCCCCTTCGGTTTCCCGGGTTTGGCTGCAGGGGTCCCGGGCCAGGGCAGAGAGCCGGCCCCCTCTGGGGACAGAAAACAATAAGCATGAGAGACAGCACAGGCAGCTGGTCACCGCTGCGTGTTTTCATTGGGGCTGTAAAAGCATGTCGTGCTCGAGTGTCAATAAATAACAGGTACTGAAGTTCCGAGCTTCCCCACTTCTCCAAACCAAGTCTGTTCCACCCGCGGTTTTCCCCAGCTGTAAGCAAAGCGGTTGTTTCTGGAACGCAGGCCTGTGGCCCGCGCACCCTAGCTCCAGACGGTGAACCGGGCGCACTGCCCTCCTCTGTCCTCAGGACCCTGCTAGAGAAGTCGGTAAGGAAAGTGAGGGGTGTGTCTGGCAGAGGTGACGGGGACAGTGAGTGGCGGACGAGACGGGCCCTCGACACATTTCCAGGACGGGCTGAACAGGTGCTGACAGCAGACACGTTCCGGCCACGACCCGCGCTGGAGAACCGACACAATGGGGGAGCCCGGCTGCCCAGGAGAGACCCGGGGGGACATGGACTCGGAGAAGGTGAGTGTCGTGGGCAGAGCGAGGGCTCTGTCAACACGCCCCTTCTCTCCCCCGGGGACGGACTGGCACAAAGCAGACAGGCAGGGTGGCCTGCTCAGCAGCCACTGTCCGCTGCCGCCTTGCGTGCATGGACTGTGGTTAAAGGGACCACGTGCCTGTGGTTAAAGGCACCTTAAGAAAGACCAAGCTAGGCACACGAAAACAGGGGTCCCAGCGGTAAAGAACCGGACCACACAAGGGACTCCGGTCACTTCCAGCTGCTGACCTCAGACGGCGGAGAAGACATGCACGGAGAAAAGGAAAGGAGATTCTGTGGGAGCTGCCGAAGTAAAAGACACAAAGGACAGGACGGCTGGACAGCAGAGTTGAGGAAACCTCACTAGACACGGTGCAGTGAACGGAAACCTGCCTACACGGCTGCAAGGAGAGAGAGCTGAGCTTGTGGGCGGGCGAAAGTAGGCACAGCCGTGAGGATGCAGAACGCGAGCTCATCTGTGTATTATCATCGACTGACGGTGCTATTTTCCCTGGGGACAACTGTCGACCTGCTTTTGCTCCACCCAGAGGTGTACCGGGAGCCCGCGAGGACCCCGGAAGAACAAAAGGATGGGAGTGGTGGCCTTTGAGAACAGGTATCCGGTGGGAAAAAGCTTTTCTTTGTAAGACCTTCTGTACTGTTCTTGTTAACCCTAAACATACAGGTTAGTGTTAACAGAGGGAAAAAATCAAAGTAGTACAAGCTCATTACAGTTCTCTTGAAAAAATATCCACCAAAATATTTTAAAGAAACACAGGGAAAAAAAATAACCAAAATACCCATCATCCTAGCAAAATACTGTTTCCATGTTGATGTTTTCAGAACGATGAGATTTTTGACGAACCCTTCAAGTTCCTCAGTTCTCTCTGTGGGAAGTCAGTTCTTCCCGCTCACCACTGCAGGGGTCTCCAGCACCCAGACCCTCCAGGGTGGGGGCAGCGTCTGTCGGCCTTAGAGGGTTTCCCACAGAGACCGGCTCCGGAGGAATGGAGCTGGCCCTCAGGGGATGCTGCTGTCCTGCGGCCAGCCAAGTGGGTGAGGACCACCAGAGACGACAGGCAGAGCTTTCCGGTGGCAGCTGGGCTCCGGCTGGGAGCCCACCCTGGGGCTTGCTGGACAGACCGATGGACAGGCCTCGGGTGTTTATGTTCTTCCCCTTTGTTTTCTCTGAAGTCTGTTCCCTACTCCACAAAGAGAGGCGGATCCCTCCCTGGAAAGGTGTTGTGAGGACCATGTGACATCCGGCTGTGTCCAGTCGCTCAGCAAATATTATTATTAAAATCGCCTTTCCCGCCCACCTTAGAGAAATAGGAAAAAACCCACTGGTCACAGTTCTAAGTCCAAAGGCCGGCATGTTGCCAGGCAACATTCAATGATTCCGTTTTGAGAAAAGACACTTTGGGTGTTGATGGAGAAACAATGTCAGGTGTCAAATGTTTCTTCATGTATTTAAAAATAACCAGTAATGACATTCACCAGTATCAAAGGCTTTGTTTAAATAAAATCAGCCAGCTTTAAAAAAAAATCGATAGTACTGTCTCCATTTTATACATTAAAGCTAAGATCACCCGATAATTCACTTCTTTCTCTAAGCTCAACTTGAACCCAGGTCTCTTGACGCCCATCAAGCAGGGCTTTTGTTTCCGGTCGCATGTCTTTTGGGCTCGTGGCACTTCTGAATATGCCTGCCTTGAAAGTCAGATCTGCCCCTCGCAATCTTGGCTTCTCTGATCCATTCAAGGTGAACAGAACTCGGAACCTGACACGGTGGACCCTGGGCAGTGAGGGCAGGTGCGGGCAGGTGAAGGTTGGTGCAGACCAGGGACCCACCCACGGGAACTTCTGGGAGTGGAGGAACAGGCCTGGGGAGACCTTTTCCTGACTCTTTATTATTCAGTGCAGGTTAACAGAGAGGGATGACCCCAAATACCAGCCGTTCCTAGAGGAATGTGGGCTTTTAAGAAATGATCATCGGAATCACCATAAACCCCTTTGAAAAAAAAATTCGACTTAATCTACAGCAGGTTTAACAAAAGCCCAGGATAAGTTTTATCATGGGGCAAGTTTTTAATGGTTTGTTTTTGACAAATGGTTGAAACAGGTGGCTTGTACCATTTAAGCTCCAAAGAATCAGGGACCCTGGGGTGGGGGTTTCTGTCTAAATACACCTATTTAGGCTGATGCGACAGACTGAGCCCCAGCTTCCTCCCATCTCCCAACAGGCTGCCATCCACGACCTTCTGCTTTCCCTAATAACCTGCCAAACACACATGCAGAAGCGCTCACCTACCTCCCAGGTGCTAACGTCTCACTGGAGAACACACCTGGAAGCCCAGGTTTCCACTCCCTCCACGTACAATAACCCCTCCCAGCACCCAGCCCTTCCCCACCTCTCAGGACTTCAGTAACTAAAGTCCAGCTGGGTGGGGAGTCAAGACCCAAAGTCAGTGTGAGTTCAGGGAGATGGCCGACTTTAACCGGGTTCTGTACAAGAACTTTAACAAGGTTCTATACAAAGAACGTCGCACTTGCAAACACAAGTGTGTTACTTCTGTCAAAGAATGTGCATCTTCGTAGTCACATTTCCTTTGAGCCCTTCAAAGAACATCGTGCTCACAAACACAGGTGTGTTCCAGGAGGCTGAAGCCCAGTGCTTCGGGGCTTTGCCACCGGAGATCCCTCCAGCGTTGCTGCCCCCCTTACCTGGAGCGGACACCAAGATCTGACACCGAGTGAGGATCGCCAGGAGGAACTCGTTGTGCGAGTGGACTGCAACAGAAGAGTGCCACGGGTCACACACAAAATACTTCCGTCACGAGGAAACCACCTATTTTAGCCCTGCCTTTCAGGATGTTGGACAGCCCCTGTTCTGCCATTTTTACACGTAATTTTAAATACCCCCGTTATATACACCACTAAAACCAAACTTTTATTTACTTTTTAAGTGAAAAGGCTTTAATGTACTGCAAATCTGGGAAATCTCCAGAACAGCACAACAATCCCCAGGGGACTGTTTTACCATTGTCTTGCGTGAGAAGTCTGTGAGCCTCAAGGTCAAACTCTTCTTTGCTGATCTTCTGCTTGAACCACAGCTTTAAGTTGGCCCAGTATCTGCAGAGGTAGACACAGGATTAAGAACCACAGGCTTTGCTTCCTTCCCAAGTTCACCTCAGCTGCCCCAACTCCCAGGGAAGGGCGGTTTTACTCTCCTAGTGTCCGCCTTCTCATCTGTCAAAGGGGAATAATTGCACCTTGCGTGCATCTCTGTTGCGAGACGTGATGACACAGAACATTCAGAGAGCTTGAAGGGTGTTCCGTAAGTGTCCGCTACTATTATTCAGCCGGAAGGTCTGTGTGCCTCCCGAAATTGCCGCCTTGCTCTCTCCGACTGCGCCCGCGCCCACCCGAGCGCAAAGCCTCCTCCTCCAGGAAGCCCTCCCGGGGCGCCGCGCCCTCGCACCCGGCCTGCTCCCGCTCAGGGGGTCCCAGGGAGGAAACGCACTATTCCTGCCCCGCCCAGGGAGGAGCCCCAGCCCCCAGGGAGGCAGGGAGGCCTCATCTGCAGCGCGACAGGCCCTGGGGCCCGCCCGGCGCAGAGGCCCCGCCACCCGCGATGTCAGGCTGCCCAGGTCCGGGAGGCGGGGGCATCCTCGAGCGGCCCAAGGCCGGAGAGCCCCGCGCGGAAGCTCGGGCTGCGCCGCGGGCTCTTACTGTTTCACGTTGTCCCCCAGAGCCTCGCTCAGGTTCTTCTTGGCCGCCTCCAGCTCGCTCACAAAGGTCGCCATTGCTCCCAACTCTCAGCCCGACCGCAGACCGCTCCGCCACGGCGCCCAGCAACCAAAAAACCAACGCGGCGGCGGCCTGGCGCTGGAGGCCGCGCGCCGGGGGACCAGCCCGCTCTCTCCTGCCCCGCCCCGCGACGCTCGGAAGACGTCCGTTTGGTTGTCGGCTCCGCCCGCCTTTCTCTACGGAAAGGGCGGAGCCAACTCCGCTGTCTGCTCCGCCCCGGCCCCGGTCACGTGCCCCCACCGCGCGGTGGCGCTGCAGCGCCGCCTGCTGGGCTGACGCGGGACTCCCTTTCAGTCTGTCACCTGCCTACTGTTCCCGATGCGGCCCCGAGTCCGCATCTCACCTGAATGAGAAGCTCACCCCCCCGGGCCAAAAAGCGCGAGCAGCCTCGATTGTATTCTTTCTCCGCTGTGGTTTTCGCGGAGCACTAATCATCTGATGTGCCATTTACTGGCATGATCTTGTTAATGTTACGTCCCCTCCAACTAACAGGTAAGTTCCCTGAGGCCAGGACCTGCTGCGGAGCCTGGCGTGAGCACCGCTGGCTGAGCGAGTAAAGTAATTATGAGAAATGGGAGGGAAATGCACAGAGGATAAAAAGAAAGAAAAAGTGTTTTACCACCTCCCCGACTCTTAACTGAGCTTTCTCGAGACGCCACGCGCCATAATTTAGAATCATGCCCTACTTTTTAAAAATTTTTTTATTGATTATGCTGTTACAGTTGTTCTATTCCCCCCTTTATTCCCCTCCACCCTACCCCCTCATCCCCACCATTACCCCCCCTTTAGTTTATGACCATGTGTCTCAAGTCCTTTAGATTCTATATTTTCCATGCTATTCTTGCCCCCCATCTATTTTCTATCAACTGTCTATGCTACTTATTTTCTGTACCTTCTCCCCCCTTCTCCTCCTCCCACTCCCCTGTTGCTAACCCTCCTTGAGATCTTCATTTCTATGTTTCCACTCCTGATCTAGCTGTCCTTTTAGTTTGCTTTCGTTTTCGGTGTGGTTGTTACAACTGTGAGTTTGTTGTCCTTTCACTGTTCATGTTTCTTTAACTTCTTTTTCTTCGATAAGTCCCTTTAACATTTCATATAATAAGGGCTTGGTGATGATGAACTCCTTGAATTTGATCTTATCTGAGAAGCACCTTATCTGTCCTTCCATTCTAAATGAAAGTTTTGCTGGATAGAGCAATCTTGGTTGTAGGTCTTTAGATTTCATGACTTGGAATACCTCTTTCCAGCCCCTTCTTGCCTGTAAGGTCTCTTTTGAGAAATCCGCTGACAGTCTGATGGGGACTCCTTTATAGGTGACTGTCCCCTTGTTTCTTGCTGCTTCTAGGATTCTCTCCTTCATTTTAATTTTGGCTAATGTAATTATGATGTGCCTTGGTGTGTTCCTTCTTGGGTCCAACTTCTTTGGTACTCTCTGAGCTTCCTGGATTTCCTGGAAGTCTATTTCCTTTGCCAGATTGGGGAAATTCTCCTTTATTATTTGTTCAAATGCATTTTCCACTGGTGGCTGTGCCTTTCCCCCTTCTGGTACCCCTATAATTCAGATGTTGGAGTGTTTAAAGATGTCCTGGAGGTTCCTAAGCCTCTCCTCATTTCTTTGAATTCTTGCTTCTTGACTCTTTTCTGCTTGGCCATTATTTGCTTTCTTCTTGTCCACTCCATTGATTTGAGTCCCAGTTTCCTTTTCATTGCTATTGGTGTCCTGTGCAATTCCATTCATTTCAATTAGTTTTGCCTTCATATATTTGTCTAATTTGTCGGTATAATCAACCAGTTCTGTGAGGATCCTGATCACCAATGTTTTAAACTGTGCGTCTGTGAGTTTTGCTATTTCTTCATCGCTTAGATTTATTGGCTCTGGGACTCTGAGATCCTCCTGCGCCATTCTTGGTCTGTTCGGGCCCTTTAAGTGTGAGAAGCGGCGCCTTGGATTCCCAGGTCGCTGGGTTGTGACGCCGTATGTGGGGGCGTGGCCAGAGCGGGAAATGGCGGCCCCCTCTGCCGCTTCTCACAGCTGGGTGCGGAGGAGCAGTGCCTTAGGTGGTTCACCTGGGCCGGGCCAGTCAGAGTCGCTGGGTTATGACGCTGTATGTGGAGGTGGGGTCAGAGCAGGGAAATGGCGGCGCCCTCCACTGCCGCTTGCCGTGGGGACCTGCCGGCCCGGTCCAACCGCTCACTCCCTCGCCTGTCCACCCTCGCACAAATGCGCGACCTCAGTCAACACGCAGCCCCGGGCCCGGCTGTCTCCCCCGAGGTCGCTCGCCTGGTTGCTCGCTGGGTCGCTCACTAGGTCGGACCCTGCGCCTGGATTCCGCGGGCCTGAGTGTGTCTGGCCGAGTCCTCCTGTGCAACCCTGCTCCGCCAGCCGCTGGTTTCGCCCCTTACCGGTCAGGCTGAAGAATTTGTTGTTAACGGACTTCCGAAAAGTTCAATTTTCTGTGTTCTGGCTGTGTTTTCTGTTGCTAATATTTAGTTTTCTCTAATCTTGGTTGTGTGAGAAGGCACGGCACATCCACCTATGCCTCCATCTTGGCGGAAGTCCCATGCCCTACTTTAAGCTGTGAATTTTGGTGAGTTTTTAAACTTAATGTATTATAGGAATATTTTCTTCTGGCGTTACATTGTCCTTTTAATCTTTTTTTTTTTTTTAGCCTCGCCTGAGGACGTTTTTTTCTTGCTTTGAGAGCGGGTGTGGGGACCAAAAACCCCTGCGCTGTAAGAGAGAAACATTATGAGAAATCAAACCCACGACCCTTTGGTTTCCAGGTCAGGGTTCCAACCAACTGAGACACACCAGCCAGGACTTAATCCTAATTTTAATGCCAGCATAATTAAGATCGCTTTCATTGTTCCTCTATTGGAAGTGATGCAGTAATACAGTTGATGCAGAAAGCCTGTGTAGAAATACTATGTAAAGGAAAGCCATCCCAAATGTTTATTTTCTATATGGCTGTTTGACTTCTATATCCCTAGAATTTTGGCCCCGGCTTGATGGATTCTTCCCAGTTCTGTATTTAATGAAGTCCCGGTGCTTTGGGTGTTTGGGGCAGTAGGATTGGATGTTGATGGAGTTGTGAGATGTCTCACTGTGGAGACTGTTTTTATTATTCATCCTATTATTTAGAAGTTTTATTGAAACACAGTTCTGTTCCTGGGCCCGGCTTAAAACCCTCTGAAGCTGAGAAAGTGCAGCCGGCCCTTAAACGGCATGGGCTGGAACCGCCGTCCACTTATTCAGGGATTCTTTTCAGCAAACAAACACAGCTGGCCCATGGTACCCATGGGTTAGCATCTGCAGATTCAACCAACCATGGGCGGAAAACAGGAGTTTCACGTCCCCAACCCCCAACTCCCAACCAGGGGTCCAAAGTGCTGTTCTCCTCTGCAGTTGGTGGAGTCCCGTGTTTGGAGGATGGAGGGTGGAGTCAAAATTTAAACATGGATTTCTGAGGGCATGGGGGTGAGGGGCTGTCACCCCATCTTGCTCAAGAGCCAGCTGTGCCTAGTTTATTCAGGGTGTGCCAACAAAGCTCCACCGGCCGGCGGCTTAAACAACAGACGATTATTTGCTCGCAGTCCCGGAGGCTGGAAGTGTGAGATTAAGGCGGCAGCAAATGTGGTTTTGGGTGAGGCCTCTCCATCTGGCAGGCGGGTGGCCACGTCTCTCTGGCCTCACCTGGCCTGTGCTCAGGGTGGGCGGCTAATTAGCCTCTGAGCACCAGAAGAGATAGCCACCTGTGGGCACTGCCCAGTAGGTGCCCCCAGGGTGTTTTGATATCTGGAGGGGAATCTCAGCAGGCGCTCCTCACACTTCTGCTGCCTCTTCTTACTCCAGGGCCCTGCCGGCGAAGCGCCCCCTGGCTTCTATGGCCGCAATAAGAATGCCACAGTCTGGGAGATGTCTTGAAGAGTTCCCACTAAGGATGAAGTGAGCCCTGGGCATAAAAGTACCAGAGGGATGTATGGGGCCCTCCTTTGCACTTTCCAAAACGCAAGCTGTTAAACTGCATACCTCCAACCCCCTGGAAGCAGCTAGCCAGGCAGCAAGTCGGAAAGCAGGGCAGAAGAAGCCTGTGGCCCCTGCTCAGAATGTGGGCGGGGCTTCTCCAAGGCGTCGGAAACCGAGCTTCTGTATAGAGATGGAGGTCAGGCGCAGGAGGGATCTTTGGCACTTGGGACAGCTGGCCATTCGAGACAGACACACCGTCACTGAGTCGCTAAGGACACAATGAGCCCGTGCTGGATGGAGATGAGGCTCCAGGTCGCCCTCTGGAAGGAGGGAAAGGCCCAGGTGAAATCCAGCGGTTACGGATGCAGCTGTATTGGCCCGTGCGTCCCGCCCCCTGCCCGAGCCTGCGGCCACCGTCCACCCTGGTCAGATAGCGCCGGTGAGCTGGCAGCCAGGACTTCCTCCAAGGTAAGGAGCCGTCTTGCCTGTCTTGATTGGCTCATGCCTCGTTTCTTTTTAAACTGGTATTTCTCTTGTAAAGAAGTCTTTTCCGGACGTCCCTTGTCCCCCTATTATGTCCTCTAATTGGTGGTGTGGGTGCTCAGGAAGGACGTGGCGACATAACAGCGCCTTGCGAAAGGGCGAGCGCCACCCCGTCGGCCTGAGGTCTGCATCCTGGCCCGTCCCGGCCCGGCTCTGGGACTCTGGGCAAGTGACATAGTCACCCTGCCCGAGTGCCTGCATCTGCAGGGTAGGGAGGATGTGGTTCTTAGCTGCTGTCATAAGAATTACATTGTAACACGTCAGAGTGAGGAGAGCCCTTGGCACGGTGCCAGGCACCTCGTAAAAGTCAGTGTAACAGTTGTTATTTTGATCATGCGCATAGCGATGTTGCGAATCTCCCTTTATACGTGGATCCTTTTAGATGTTCTCTGTGGATAATATGTCCGCAGATCAGGGAAGCATATTTTCTTTTCAATTCTTACGCCTCATTTCATTTTCCGGGCTTTTTCCTATTGGCTAGACTAGCACTGTCCGATCCAATGGTCCTGTGACTCAGGGGTCCAGTACCGTAGCCACAAAGGGCTATTCAGTACTTGAAATCCGGCCTGTGAGACCCAGGAACTGAATCTTTAATGACACTTAAACTTGAACACCCACCTGCAGCCGGTGGCAGCCAGACTGAAGGGTTCAAGGCCGGGACCTCTGTTCCAGGTGCACTGGTTGTGCTGACGTTTTCACCACCAAGTCTGGCTGTGGCTGTGAACTTGGGAGGATGCCCTTGACTCCTTGGGGGGCTGAGCATTTCCCAGTGACTTACTGCGTGAATTGGTGCATTTCTGCATCTATTCTGAGGACAGCCTTGTTTTTCTCAGTCACTTTTTCCATGTGTTGAATTATGCAGATATTTTTCTGATGTTAAACCGCTCTTGTATTTCTGGGATAACTCCTCCTTGGTTGGAATGCATTTTTAAAACACGCTGCTGTATTCGATTTGGGAAGACTGTGCTTACGGTTCTGGCATCTGCGGTCATAAGTAATGTGAGTCCCAAACTTTCGAGCACTTTTCCTCATCTGGGTGTAAACCCATTGCGCGTGGAATGAGTGGGGGGATTCCTACTTTTCCTGTTCCCTGAAAGGATGCTTAAAAAAGGGAGGGGCTTCTTCATTATTTGAAATTTGGAGAAAATTCTCCATGAATCCATCTGCCTAGGCTCTGGTGGAGAGCAGGACAGGTTTAAAAAAATTTTTCCAATTCAATTCCCTGGTTATTTGGTGTCTCATTTTTTTTCCTTGAGTTGTTTTTGTTCGTTGATGCGTTTTTCTGTGTCTGTGCGCTAGTTCTGGCTGGTGAGGATGGGCTCCTGGGGGGGCGGGCCGCTCGGGGTGATCAGCGCTGCCCCTGTTTGCGAGTCTGTGGACCCTGAACACACCGTCACAATTTCCGGACACCTCGGAGGATGGCCGAATTCTCAGCGACTTGATTCCAAAGAAGGCGCAGGACGGTCAGGTGAAGAAGCGAGGGCTGGATTGGTCGCGTGTTCTCTCATTTTGGGTCTCAGCTTTCCCGTCACTTCTTTCTAAAGAGTCGGTTTAGGTTCCTGGATTGGAAGCCAGGGTGGGTGCGGGGTCTCCTTCGCGCAGCTCAAGCTGTCGCGGGTCTGGAAGTCCAGGTCCCGGAGCCCTAAAGCGTGCCCGCCGACGGGCTCCAGAGCAACCCAGCCGTCTCTGCGCAGAGACGGCAGACCCCCATGCGGGGCAGCCCCTTGACCGCAGCGACCTCCGGCAGGTGTCGGGAGTCCTCACCACCCGCGCTCTGTTTGTGTCCCGGGACCCCCGGCCCAGCGGAATCTCACGCGGGGACCCTCGTGCGCTCTGGGCTCCTTCAAATGTACAAACCCAGCAGTTCTGGCGGTGCGGGCGGCCTAAATCCCGTGGGGGGACCTTGGTGCCAGCGCCTGGCTCCCAGGGGTGGCTTCGGGGAGACCTTGCGCCCCAGTTGCAAATGCCGCCCCCTGCAAGGAAACAGGGGCTTTGGTGAAGGAATCTTTCTGCGGGTCAGAGCCGGGCCGTGCGCAGCGCTAGAGCTGCTGTCTCAGAGAAACCATGCGAAGGCGCCGAGCAGGTCCCTGCCACCACGGAGGAGGGGTCGCAGCGGCACCTGGAGGAAGAGAGGCCGCCTGGGCTGGGCACGCAGCTCCGCCTCGCCGGCTGCCGGCTGCCGTCTGCTCGACCGCCACTAGGGGGCGATATGCCCTTGTCCTGCGTCCAGGCTCCGCGGTCTGGAGTGAGCCGGTGGCCACCTGACTGGTGCGCATCTGTCCTCCGCATTAGACGGGGCCCTGGGGACCCCAGCCTTCGAACTCACACTCCAAGGCCGTCCAATGGCGAGGGTTCTCTGACCCTCTAGGAATGTCGGATGAGGGCGCCCACTCCAGTGGGCATTAGGCCACCCTAAGCTCCCCGGCAGCGGGAGGCTCAAAATCATTGCCATATCCCAGATGGGGCTGTGTCGTCCGGGAAGAACTGCCTGCTGCCTTTGGGAGCACTCTGAGGTCTCAGGGCCCAGTGGCCTCGGAGCGGTGAGCGGAGTGCTGGAGGCCGAGTTCCCAGCTCTGAGAGCAGGCTCAGGAGAGCAGGTGGAAAGCCCAGTGAGGTCTCTTCCCCGCTAGGCCCTGGTCAGTAATGAATGGCAGATGTCACCGCCTGCCTGCCCACTGGAGGCGCAGCCCGAGTGCCCAGGTCGCTGCCCGGAGTTTACAGGGTGACCCAGTGAGTCTGGAACTCTACCGATCCCACCCCAGCTGGTGGCTGTGGGGGCCCAGGGGCCTTTGGAAGGGGAGGGGTGTCTGCTGTCCATTTCGGGAACCTCATGCGGCCAAAGGCGGCTGGACTGTTGCTGTAGTGAGGAGCAGGTGAGGACTTCCCCGTACCAGCTGTAACCAAGTACAGCAACTCCACCCTTAACATGGCCCAGAGGTTCTTGAACTGCAGTGAAATGATGTATAAAGGAACCAGTTTTACCAAAGGCTAATTGGTAGGAACAAGAGTTAAGTTCTCAGCAAGGCTGTCCAGCAAATTTGGGGACCACAGGGTGTGTAGCTCAGGCCCGGTCACCTTCCCATTCACAGCAAAGCCCCACCCCGCCTGTGCATAAGCGTCTCTTTGGCCGTGGGTGTGGTGCAGAGGCCTCAGTGACTGCTGCAGGGGGGACAGGGTCTGAGCAGCCTCCCCTGCCACCCAGCAGCCTGGGCGGGGCCCGAGGCCCAGGATGCCAGCGCACATCCCATTGGGTAGCAGCGTCTTTGAGCAGAGAGCTCTTCCCCCGCTGGCGCCTGCGTGAGCGGTGCTGACCAGATAGAGCTTGTGCCCAAGTTCATCCCCGCTGTCTTCAGGCTGTCCCGCCCCAGCCTCCTGCAAACAGAACCCTGGGAAGAAGCGAGGCCGCAACCCCAGCCAGAGTCGCTGGGAGACAGCTGTGACGCGGCTCCTCCCCTTTCTCAGAATCCACCCCAACAGGCCACAGGGGCCCGGCAGTCACAGTTTCAAGCACTGGGTCACCATAGTGATGATTTGGGCTCCGGCTGCCATGGTGACCGTTCTGTGAGCTAAACGGTTCCATCAATCCTTCCCCTCCTTGCTACTGCCTAGGAGGTAAACATGTATATTATGATGTAAACATCATCTATGTGTCATAAATCAAGTTTTTTTTTTTGGTCAACAAATGTCCCATCAAGCATTCGTGGTTTAAGGTGGCACAGTCCTGTGCTCTGTGACCAAGGCCACCCACCTGTATATATAAAGATCACAAGTCACATGTGGGCTCCGAGGGACAAGTGACTCCCAAATGCAGGGTTTCCGGGAGCCGTGTGAGAGGGCACAGCTTGGTCTGCGGCCCAGAGGCAAGGGGACGATGCCACCCACGTGCACCCTCCTGGGAGAGAAGGAAGCACGAGGGTGTCCCCAGAATGGGAATGACAGAGGCCGAGGGACCAGAGGGGACCATGTACGATGCATGAGCACTCACCTGTGCACCGGGAGGTGCGGCAGCGTGAACTTCTGGGGCTGGCCAGCCTGGCATGTTCCCCCGTCCGCCTAGGACAGCAAAGGACGAAGAGGCGGAGAGGAGGCCAGAGGCCCCCGGGTCTATGGGGCTTCAGAAAAGAAGGCGCCTCACCAACATTGAGTGTTTTTCTTGAAACTGTCTAGAACTTGAGGCAGCAAAGCGGAATTATTAGGGACAAGCCTGGGGGTGGGGGAAGAAGGGACAGAGGTCAGAGTCCTCAGGAGGGCGGCGACAGAGATGGATTCCTGAATTCAGAATGAGCAGGGTGTAACCAGGGAGGTGCCCGGGTGTGCGGCAGGCTCTGGAGGGGTTTCCCCGGAACTGCTGTGAAAACAGTGTCCCTGGTGCCCTGGGCCGGGGCACCGTGTCTGAGGGTGGCTGGGGCCTCTGGATTCTTGGGTAAGAATCTGTTGGGATGCAGGGTGTGGCTGGGGTTGGGTTCCGTCTGCCCAGCCCCCCGGTTCCCGCTTCTGATGATAATAACACCGTCCCCTCTCCTTTGGGGACACATGCCAGGCCACCGTCCAGTCCAGCACAGGATCTCAGCCTCCTGGGCAGAAGTGGACTCACCACCTCTCTGCTACCACAATTGGCTCACAGGTGGGCGCATGACCCAGGTGAGTCACCCGCCACCTTCTCCAGGACAGCAACCACGAGTAGGGCCCTTTGCGGGTCTGGAACATGGCCGCTCTTGGACTGCTAGTGGAGGAGGAGGTCTGTCCCCGCCGGGGGGGAAATGCAGGAAGACACAGGGGGTCTGACTCCATCGAGGCCCGGATCTCCGTCAGGTCCCGCCCGCAGCTCTTCCTCCAGCCCTAAGCCATCCCGGGATCTTTCTTTTCCCTCCGCTATAGACTGAGCTGCCTGTCCATCCTTGGCAACCAAATAACTTTTTACTAATACCAACGGGAAGGAAGGAACGGTGCTTCAGTGTGACTTCTGTGACCGTCCCTCTCTCGTGATGGAACAAGAGGAGCCGGTTGCTTGGACCACACGGAGAAGCGCCCACACAGAGAGGCTCAGGGGCGGGCGGGTGGCAGTATTGTCCCTTCGGCACCAATCCATTTGGATGAACAAAGAAAGGCCTTTGACGGGGACAGTGGTAAACAGGAGTCGGCATACGCGTGTAATCTGTCCGCCTTCGCCCCGGGAAAAACGAAATGAGCTGAGAGAGTACGCTGGCGCCGCACAGATACATAAACCTGACGTAAGAAAACGTCCTCTGAAAGTGAGGGTTGTTTTATGTAGAAGTGTTTTAATGTCAGGGCCTGTGGAACCTTCTCTGCTTGTTTCTGAAGACAGTGAGGGAGAGAATGAGAGAGAGGGAGCGGTTGAGATCAGGTTCATCTTTTCAAAAAGCCGGGGACTGCGCTGTTCGGTTGCCGAGTTTAAGGACGTAAGTTTTGCTTGTCGATGAGAGACTTGCTTCATTGTGATCCTGTAGCACCAGACTCCGGGCTGACTTCACAAAGTGCTTGTATCATTTCAAAGGTGTTAAAAGCACGTTTAAAAATAGCTCTCAAGGGAAACACATGCCTCATTCCCACTTGGTCATGTGATTTTTCCCCAAGGGGTACCCACAGAACGATGCCCTGAAAACATAATATGGCAAGGTCTAAAACTTTGAAACGTCACTTCGAAATAAAGGAATCCTGACGCACTTCCTCAGTTTGTCCAAAGTCGATTCATACGAGGCTGTTTTGAGAATACATCAACAATTCAACTCAATACCTGAACCCCGGGCAAGTTCCCCCTGGAGTGAGCTTGCCGTGCCTCCGAGGGCTGCCACTAGGTGGCGCCGCAGGCTAACTCACGCCCCTTCTCGGAGCCCTGTGGCTACCTGGCAACCCGGTTACCCGGTTACCTGGTTACCTGGACACCTTCCGCCAGCGCATCAGAAAATACAATTCCACCTAAACGCGGGGATGAGAGTTATTAGGGTGTCTCTGCCAAGACTTTTCGGATCCTGAAATCAGCCTACTCCTTTATTTCTTGAACATATATAAAAATGACTTTTACACTAAACGAAGGGGAATAGACAAGGTGTAGACATAAAATGATTTGTTTTTTTCCCCCGAAATCGTCCAATTCTTATCCATCCTATGGGCCTAGCCCTTCCTTGCTTCGTGAGTGATATCTAGATTAATACTTTCTCCTGTGTACTTTGAACCCTCCGCAAATGCCTTATTTCTGTCATTGGAACAGTGATTCTTTTATAAGGACCCGACCCTGAACCACTCGGGAGGGTAGAGCTCCTTGCTCTAGAGGAGCAAGGAGCTCTAGAGGAGGGCTCACCTTAGTCTAGAGGTTCGAATTAGGGAGAGAAGCGCACGTGCCTTCTAGATTTCTTCTCCCTTTACATTTCCACATTTACTCAACTCGTTCCTCAACTCCTTCACAGTAACTCGTCCCTCTCGGGCCCCCCAGGGTGGCTGTGCACCCACGGGGCCCCAATGTGGAGACGGAGGGCAGCTAAGGAGCCAGAAGGGTCCTTCTTGACCGGCACCAGTGTAAAATGGCCTCCTGCCAAACACAGGTTCTCAGACCGGAACGACAAACCGCCTAAGGAGTCAAGAAAGCCCAAGTGACAGATCAGGTGCTGTTTCTAGCAGGCACATGTGTGCAGCCCCTTTTTTATTAAGAAGTTTTGGAATCTTTACCGAGGACACAGTTCTTGATTTTAGAGAGAGAAAGAGAGAGAAACACTGATGTGAGAGAGAAACACCAGTCAGTTCCCTCCTGCACATGCCCTGACCGGGGATCGAACCTGCAGCTCTTTGGTGCCCAGGATGATGCTGCAACCAACTGAGCCGCCCGGCCAGGGCTCACGTGCCCTTTCTGAAAACACGCCAGGTGCCACCACGTTGTCCAGCTTTCCCACGTCTCGCCTTCCCCTGGAAGCTCTGTGGTCTGCAGAGCAGTGGCAATGGAATTTACCTGGCGGGCAGCTCCTAAAACTCGGTGCTCCTGCCTGGTGCTCCGTCCGTCCCAGTGTTTACTTATTCCCCCACCGCCAGGACCCAAAACAATCCGGCCGGCCACGCGGTGTGTGACTTCTGGTGCTTCTGCTGCAGCCATCGAACGGCAGATCACGGTTAGCGTTGTGTGAATGGTGACTTCTCGGCCACAAAGGGAAGTGAAAAAGGCTTTATTGAAGTTTCAAACATGACAGCCCAATTCATTTGGACATCTGACAGCAAGAAAAAAAACCCCGGGCAGGAGACACGGGTGTTTCATTGTGGATGCTACAGGCAGGGCGGGAAGTGGCGCAGCAGGCGACTCTCAGAACTCGCCTCCTCCCCGCCCCCCACTCGTCCCTTCTTCACCTTCCCACGAGGGAGGGTCTCTCGGGGTATGTCTGAGACCTTGGCCGAGGAGGTGGCTTTTTCATAAAGCCACAGCGAGCAAGAAGGTTTGTCCTTTTTGGCCTCCCCAGAAGAAATCAGTCCAGCCCACCAGCAAACTCTCAGAGACGTGGACACACATGGCTTCATGGTGTCCGTCTGCACCGGCCGCTCTCAGTTCTGCTGGAATCCCGAGGGCAGAGAAGATGCCGGGCTGTTCTCTCCTAAGCAGGTCGCCTCCCAGCCCCAGAATCTCCAGTCCGGCTGAGCTAGGACTGTAGCTCAGAAACGCTTCTTCAGGGAGGGCTTGAACTTCTGAAGCACATCTTCCCAGGCCTTCCCCGCACAGCGCCAGGCCAGGCGGGGTCCCTGTCACATCCGTCCTCGAGGGACGGAGCGTGGCAGGACGGAGCAGGGTGTCTGTGTTCACAGCTCCACTGCCGGTGACCTGTCGTGACCGTCAGGCTCACCTGTGTCTGGCTGCGCCGAGGGTCAGTGGGACGCCCCTTGGGGAACTGGGAAGAACCCTACGCTGTCAGTGGGCCTGGCTCCAGGTTTTAAAAAGTCACTTGACTGCAGCAGGTCACTTCGCCTTTTGTAACCTCACAGATCTGACAGGACAGCACACGTGGAAGTGGTGTACAAACAGCAACACACAGTGAGGGCCACGCAAGTGTGAGTGTTAACCTTCTCACCGCGCCCGGGCGGAGCGAAGGCTCGGCGGCCGCAGCCGGCAGCTCAGAGCTGCTCTCACCACCCCCCACCACTGCGCACGGTCAAAGCCCCGGACTCGGGGCTCACGGACCAGCTCCCCAGGAGGTAGGAGGTAGGATCCCAGCAGAAAGAAACTAGGCTCCGGAGCTCCCGGGCCCCTGCGTCGGGGAAAGCGGGTCTGTCCACCCTGTCAGTCAGGGTCCGACGCCCGAGTCTGGAAGGATCCGGAGTGTAGGTTTCATCATTCTCACCTGCCGCCCCACGTTGGCTTCTCAGGTGGGGGTGGGTGTCGACCAGCAGGCCAACAGTGTGACTACTTCAGAAAATGATTCATTTTTGCTGTTTCCCCCGCGGTCTCTTTTCTTCCTATTCGCAACCGCGCTGAAGGACAAAGGAGGGAAATGAGGGAATTGCCTGTAATTCTCGGTGTCAGGTCTGGGTGGGAGCGGCCCAGGAGGGGCCTTGGGGTGCCTCCAGTTTTCCTTTCTCTCTGCTCCTTCTGCCACTGGACCCCGGTGAGCCAGTCACCGCCAGGCCACTGGCCCCAAGGACGCTGGAGGGAAAGTTTCCAAGCCCAAGGAGGCCTCGGCATTGCTGTTGGGCCCACACCAGGGCTGGGATTCACTGTGGCCTCTCCCAGGGCACCTGGTGCCGGGCTCTGCTGAAGTGGGGGGCGGGGTCACAGCGCAAGGCCCCGCCCCGGCCCCACCCCCTCCATCTCCAAGGCAGGGCCCGCCTGTTTTCTATAGCGGTTCAGTCACTTGTGCAGCAGCCAGCAGTGTCGGGAAACACTGACCAGCAGACAGGCCCGTGGACTTGAGTCTGAAGACCTAAGTGGGTCTGTGACGTCACTGATGGCAGCCGCGGCTTCCTCCTCCAGCTCTAAAGAAAGGCTGGGCCGCAGCCATACCGACGCCCGGCCTCTGGCGAGGGCTGCCCACAGTCCAGTCACGCGAGCTGTGTGAGGCCTTCGAGACTGTTTCACAGTGTTGACAGGAGGGCCCGGGTGTTTTCAGCATGGCGTGCCTCGGGCTTGCGTGGCGGTCCCCTCCCCAGTCCCCGTGGGGACTGTGCCGGCTGCAGAGCGAGGCTCCAGGGAAGGGAGGGAAGGCCCATCATCTCTGAGCCATTCTGTGTGGTGAGGGTGGCCGGCCACCCTCGAGGCTGCAGAACTGAGCCCGAGAGACAGAGGACCCTGGGATCATGTCTGGTGGGACAGCTGGCAGGCACTGCCAGGCCCATGACAAATGTCCCCAGCTTCCTAATGAGCCTCTGCGTGGCACCACGAAGCAGTTCCTCTTCCAGGGGGCGCCGCCGGCCACCTGCACCCACGCCCCTCCTTCCGCACACCGATGACTCACTGTGACTCACAGGCAAACACAGTGGCGCCCCACTGGGCCCTCCGCCTCCCTCACCTCTTTCCTTTTTGAATATTGGCTTTTCAGAGCATGAGGCGCATCTTTAAATAAGAGGGAAGCACAAACACATACAGTGCTAAAATACCAAAATACACCCATTTAAATTTAAAAAAAACAGCTTTAATTCTCTGGGCTTGTTGTCCAGCCATATTTTGTCTCCTGTGCAGAAAGCCTCCCTGTTCTTTCTTGGGCATCTTCTCTGTCCCCAGTCCCACTGCGGGGCCCAGGGGACAGAGCCCCCACCCCACCCTGACGTGTTTTGTGCCCCAGTGAAACCTGGGGAGGAAGCCTCGTGGCCAGTTCTTCCTCCGAGGGCACAGCACTCAGGAGAGAAGGAGCCAGGGGCGGGCCCAGAAAGGCTGGGGTGCGGGCGGCCACCTCGGCCCTCCCCGGTCCACTCGGCCTCTCTCCTGTGCGCGTACCCTGCAATGCCCGTCTTCTCTGTAGGTGGAAGGCGTGTTGGTCTGAGTGATCTGTGTCACTCTACAGGAGACGACCTGGTCCCCTCCCCACAGGTGACTTCATGAGCCCGTCACTGTCTCTGTATTTCTGTTGTCTGTGGTTCTGTCGCCTTTGGAATCACGGGTCCCCAGGGGAGATCGGTCTCTCCCCCGCTCCCCTCTCCTGCACCTGACTGCACACGTCCCCAGCTAGGACACAGTTCCGGTGGTCCCTGCGGCTGGTGGGCAGGGCTCCTCGGTGGGGAGAAGCCCAACACGGGGGCTCCTGCTGCTGCCCAGTGTCTCCCGAGGCACCTGAGTGCGCTGCACTCCGAGGCTGGTGATGAAGAAGTGATGCTTTTTCATCATCTTTTCCGTCTGAACTGGGGCCCAAGCAGACAGGCTCGACCCAGGCCCTCCAAAGCCAGGGATGCCCGCAATTCCAATTCTCAGCACCACACACATGGCTTCCAATTTAAGGCCTTGGAAGCACCGGCCCTGGACTGGATGGTCCCCACTGGCTCCTCCAGGGTGACCGGGCCAGTTCTCCCCCCAGCTGTGATGGCCGCTGACCCACCTGCCCCTTGTCGGTCTGACTGCACACGGACGACTGATTCGGGAATGCCGTGAAGGGCACGGGTGGTCCTCTGAGAAGAGGGTGTGGCATCCGTCAGTGTTCCTGGAGGTGGCCAGGGAGATGCGGGGGAAGATGCTGTGGTCAGAGGTTGCCCACGGATCCAAAGACAGAACGGACAGGTGTGGAGGCGGGGACAGTGGGGCCAGTGTCCTCCGGCGGCTGGAGCCAACCACAAGGGTGTGGGGGGAGAAGCTTTGATGAAGCTCACCAGGGGAGTGGAGACTGGGAGATGCCGACCATCGGCTGGAGTCGGGGAGTCGGGGCTGAATGGTGAGACAAGAAGAAGGTTTTTCCTTGAAGACAAATGAACGTGTAAAGTGCACACCAGCTTCTCACGCCTCAAGCAGGAGTCCGCCGTGCGGGCTGAGCTCAGCTGGGCGGTTCTTCTGTTGGTCTTGATTCCCCGTGCGCTGGTGAGCAGCCGAGCGTGGAGGGGTGGTCCGAGGGGGTGGCGGGGGCATCGGGCCCCTTTCTGTCCTCACGGAGCAGGACGGCCTGGCTTGTTCACCGACGGGTAACTAACTACAGGGCTCCCGAGAGCAGCAGGAGGGGACGAGAGCCCCACGCATGAGAATTTCTCAAGTCTCTGGTGGTGTCACATTTGTTTCTGGGCTGCTGGCCGGATCAGATCGTGGGGCCAGACCCAGATTCGAGGAGTGGAGAGACAGGCTGCACTTCCAGATGGAGAGGAAGGAGTGGCCACTTCTCGCCATTTATACAAAATGCCAAATCCAGAGACGTAGCTTTGGGAGGCGAAGTCTACCATGTAGGTGAGAGTGGGCACGGGAAGCTCCCGTCTCCCAAAGCTCTGGAGTGGCCGCCCAGTGAGGCCAGGATGCACGGTCACGTCCCCCATGTGCTCAAATGGCAGAGCTGCGATGGTGGGGGGTGGGGGGGCGACGCGTGGTAAATGCCTGGGAAGATCTCGGGGAGTCGGTGGGGTAGAAGGCCCGCATTCCAGGTACACGGGGAGCGTGGGTTCTTTTCTCTGCAGGTGGTTACCGCCTCCTCTTCTTTTTCTCCTTCTCCCCTTCACGTGTGTGCTCGGAGCGCTTGTCACGAGGCACCCGAGGACAGCCTGATCGGAGTGCGGAGGGGGGCAGGCTCCGTGTGTGGCCCTAGCCCGTGGGACAGCCCAGGTGGGGGCGAGAGGAGGGCCCTGAGCGTCCGAGATTCAGGCGAGTGCAGCAGAGACAGAAAGCAGCTCCGTCTTCTGAACTTGAAAAGCAACACCACGGAGACGGCCTCCCCAGAAGGTGCGCTCCCCTCCCTGGAGTTCCAGCCACTCGAGAACCGTCTCGCAGAACAACACACGAAGTCATTTCTGTGACCGTCCAGCAGGCCATGGTCACCGACCTCATGAAAGGCCTTCCTCGTGAAACAACAGCTGACTGGCTCCTGCATGACCAGGAGGCGGTGGGAAGGAAGGGCGTGCTGAGCCGGAAGCCATCTCCGTCGTCTGCAGGTGGTCTCCCAATATTGGTGACAAGCCCCCCGTTTCTCGGGTAGCTGCACGGGTGGCGTGGAAAGGCGTCCTGGAGGCAGAGGCGTCTCCCAGAGCTCACGCCCTGTCGGCTGGGAGAGGCGTCCTGGCCCTGCTCGGCAGGCTGGGCCAGAGGAGCTGCGTGGCCGAGAAACCCCACAGGTGGGAATGTTCTCGTGCACAATCGTTTCCGGGATGAGTTTCTCAAGCGGGTCAGCCGGGCACCGAGGTTTGCAGGCAGCCTCCCTCATGCGGTTCCCCCGTCCCTGGCCAAGGCAAAGATCGGCAAACCTTCCAAGGTGGCGGCCGGAGAAGGTCCCGGGCCTGCTGGCTCTTGCATGTGTGTCTTGTCCCTGTCACCCACGTCCGATTCCTAGTCGTCCAGAGAGACATCCTAAAGGAGCGTCAGACCACCAGCGACATCCTGGTCGGAAAGTCATTCTGGAGGAGAGCAGAAAGACCCCAGTGTGAGGCCGCCGGCTGGCCAGAGAACCACAGCCCAGTGTAGCGGTCGTCTCCATGGGCAGAGTCCCCAACCTGTTCACACCCAGCCCGGCCCCACTCAGCGTTTCACTCGGCTGGTAGCTACCGTCCCCAAGTCTGGCTAAGTGCCGAAGCCAGCAAGCGTCTGGTAGGGCCGAGTTCCCGGGACGCAGCCTCACACCAGCTCTGGGGACGGACGGACAGGGCACAGAGAACCTGGCATGCCCAGAAAGCGCTCTCCCTACTCACAGGGTGCCGGTCAGTACGTCTTTCTCCTGGGAGGGGAATGAAGGCCGGGGGCCTGTTTCGAGGGGGTCAGTCATCACATCAGAACCTTTTCCTGTTCCCGTTCTCTCCCGAACTCTCCCCGAAAGAAAACATCTGGACTGGGATCGGGGAACAGGATGGTGGGAGAGGCAGGGGGCTGAGGCCCCTGGCAGCCCGCTGTGGACATCTGTGATTGCAGCACTGGGGAGTGCTGCTCTGAGGTCCGGAGCTCATATCTGGGGCCTGAGGGAGGCAGGGGGCCCCTTGGCCTTTAGAGAGAAGGCAGCACGGTCTGTATACGGCCCCTCACACGAGAGACAGTGAACGGGGCCAGGACCAGGCCTGCTTCCCACAGACGGGCGTCTCCGCTCAGCGAGATGTGAGAGGAGGAGAGGAACCGCGAGGGGTCCAAGAGCCACAGCCGCTCGCCTTCTCTGGGACGTGGACTCTTGGGAGCTGGATGCACCATGCCCTCACCCCGGGTGGGGAGGGTGCACACACAGGCATGTGCGACGCCTCCTGCACGCAAGCCTCCAAAGCCCAACCAAGACCTGCGGGGGTGACGCACCTGGAATCCCTGATGCTAAACGCTTCTTAAAGCTAAATGCTTCCCCAGCACGGCTAAGGACCCAGCTCCCCACCTGCACACCTGGGGCGCCGCCTTTTCCTGCTCTCCAGGCTGGGTGGCGCCCTGCTCACTTCACCTTTGCCCGGTAGAGGGCGCGGGGGAACCAGCCTGACACCTGCGTTGTCCTAAGCAGGCCTCCCAGCTTTTCCACTGGCCCCCTCTGGCGTCTGGGGGCCACCTGCTCTGCTCCCCTCGCCTGGCCCACCCAGCCGCTGGACGTGACCCCGCTCAGGCGGCGCGCGACCCCACCTGCTTCTTGGCGGGCTCCTTCTTCCGCCTCTTCTCCGAGGTGCTGTGGCCGGACAGGTCGCGGCCGCGGTCGCGGTGGGACGGAGCCCGGCTCAGCTCGTGCTCGCTGTAGGGCGGCAGCGCGTCGTCGGGGGCGTCCTCGTCGTCGCTGGGCGGGGCGCGCGCCCGGTAGGTGGCCGGCGGTGACCAGGCGTAGTAGGGGGCGCTGCGCCGGGCAGGCGTCTCCAGGCTGCCCCCGCGGCTCGGGTGCTCGCAGGCGGCCGGCAAGCTCACCAGCCGCGGCAGCGGGGCGTCCTCGGGGGTCCAGGCGCGCTCGGCGTCGGTGGGGGCCTCGCGGCTGTGACTCCGCACCCCGAAGAACCGCTCAGGCGAGAAGTCCTCGGGCGGGCCGTCCCCGAAGAGGCCTCCGCGCGCCCTTGTCTCCGCGCGCTCGAAGCGGCTCCCAGGTCGGGTGTCCAGGCTGCCGTCCGCTCGGCGGGACCGTGCGCCGTAGGAGTCGGCGAAGGCGGCCAGTTCATCCATGGACACGGCCGGCACGCCCGTGGCGAAGCTCTTCCGCGACAGCATCTCGGACTTGGAGCGCTGCTGGCTGCGGAGCCAGGACACGGGTCAGGCGGCACGGAAAGCCAGGGACAAGCACCTCGGGTGCCTGGGCCGGAGCCCTGGTCCCGGCCCTCCCCCACCTCTCACACGCAGGGTCTCCCACAGTGAGGGGGAGGCGGCTGGCCGCCTCACGGGTGTTAGGCCTCCAGATGGAGGGCACGAACCCCTTTTGTGGTCCCTGTGGTGAAGCCACCCCAGCGTTATCTGTGACCCCTGGTGGGGAGCCCCGGGGTCACTGCTCACACCCTCAAGCCCCCATGGGAGGCGTGGCTTGCAGGTCACACAGCTGTGGCCAAGGAGCCTCTGGGCCACTTAGTGATGCTCAGACAGGCCTTTTCCTTCCTCCAAGCTGACCGACCGCCGGGCTACCTCTTGGGCACAGGCCAGAGGGCCCCCCCCCCACATGGGAGGGTCTGAGACAAAGGCTGTGTCTGCCGTTCTCCAATGCGGACGCCAGGGGGCGTGCACGGGTGCCGTCTGGTGGGAAGTGGCCACACGGAAGTGGCCACATGTCTTGGTCCGTCACATTCACTGGCTCTGTGGCCCTGGGTGAGCTCCTGAGCCTCCCTGTAAGCCTCAGTGTCCCCCAGCTTAAAATGGGGACACTTGCAATACCTGCCTTGTGGAGTTACGACAACCAAATGCAACCGGATAGTGTGCTTGACCTTTAACCTTTCCCATGTAAATGATCAAACAGGATGGCGATGACGGGTGGGGTTTTTAGAGGCAACGGGATAAAATGTGTGGCGGGGCAGGGTTCACAGGGTTCATTTAAGGGGTCTAGAGCGCCCACCTCCAAGGGCCTGGAACGGTGACTTCTACACACAGCCTCACAAGTGGGCCCCTTGATAAACGGGGAAAGGGGGTGTTGTCATAGAGAGGGGGGTAGCAGGCTAACAGCTGTCACCCGGCACGAACAGGCCTGGGTCCACCCTGCCTCCTGCGTCCCCGCCCACACCCAGCCTGAGCCGCCCCCCACTGCCGCCTGCACCTGTGCCTGGAGCCGTCCCGGTCCTCTCTGTTGTACTCCACTGCCGAGGGCCCCCGGCTCGCCCCGCTGCCGCCCCCCACGACGCTTGACCAGTAGTCTGTGTTGCTCTCCAGGTCCCCCGACAACGGAAACTGCTTGCTCCGCATCTGGTGGTAGGACTGGCGGAAGCTGCCGTCCTCCTCATGCAGGGAGCTGAGTTCTGAGATGGCGTTGTTGTCTGTGGGGACAAAACCAGGTGGGACAGAGCTTTCCACGTGCTGGTGGTGGTAGCTGAGACCGGGAGCCTCGGGTCCTGCCGCCCCAGGGCCCCAGTCCGGTCCTGCCCAGGGCGGGTGTGGACTTGCACTACTGGTGTTTGTGTGCTTAGCCCGGCAGGAGCGGCTCCAGCCCAGGCTCCCTGCAGACCGAGTGGGAGGCTGCTCCGTCCCTGCCCTCGGAAAACAACCGTCACTGCCCCGCCCAGGGCAGGCTTCCCAGGGCTCAGGCTCTCTACGGCTGCCGCCTCTTGGGGCGTCATCATCCTCGTTCGAAGGTCCACCTTCTCTTCGTGTGATTCTATATGAGCCGTGGCGACCCGAGGCACGTCCAGTCACAGGGTGGAAAGAGGCAGAAGACCCCCGGATCACAGGGTCTTCCCCACGGTCGGCCGAGTCCCGAGATGGGGACTTCGGGGCCAGTGCTGCCCCAGGCCTGGAGGTGCCCCCGCCAGCCGCCTGTAGCTGTGGCCCTGCCCACAGGGCAAAGGATCCACAGGGCCAGGGAATGGGCTTGCTCAAGTATGACCGGCCACCCCTGTGCAAAGCTTGTCCGGGAGCCTGGAATGGCCTCTCCGAATGGCTCCAAGTCCATTTCCAGGGCCCAGGGAGCCCCCTGTCCCTCCCCAGGGAGTTCCAGGTGTCTATGGCCATGGCGGCCGGGACAGCTGTTTGCAGGTGTGGGAAGGAGGGGCGCTGGCTGCACCTGGCCTCTGGCCTCCAGGTGTGGTGTGGCCCCAGCCCCCAAATGTAACAGGGGCGCAGTGCTCGCAGCTTTCTCATTTCCTAAGGTGGCCTAAGGGGCCTTGTGCAGAAGCACGGAGGGGGGGGAAGGACCAGAATGGAGATCTGGAAAGAAAGGGGAAAAAAACCTATTTATTTATAGAACTTCGAAATGGATTGAATTTCATCTTACTTAAAAAATAAATCTAGTGACTCTATTTGTAATGTAATTCAAGCCATTTGTTTTCTGAAATCCCTTGGTTAGAACTTCAAAATATTATCAAAATCAACACTTAGCACACACATAAGGTCTGCCTGTCGGGCGAGAGGTAAGCCAAGCTCGGACGTGGGAGGCCAGAAGTGAGTGGGCCCCAGCCCTCCTCACACCCCCCCGCAGTCCGTGGAGGGACAGACGAGTCTTGCTGCTTCCCACGCATGCAGGGGAGGACGGCCCTGCCCACGGCAGAGACACGGCTCCTCTCAGGTCCCTGCGGCACACGGGGCCAGCCAGGAACGCCCCTCAGTGTGGTCACCCGTGGCTTTGAATTATAACCTGATTTTAAACCTTTCTTTCTTTCCAGAGACTCCTGCTTAGTAAAACCTAGAACCTCTCTTTTCTCATGACCCTAGCAAAGCCCTGTCCCCTGGGAACCACACAAGGAGAACTTTGAGGTGACCGAGAAAGTGTGAGGACGGTCATGTCCCATGTGACTACTGGAGATTCTTGCGTGACCGGCTCAGGACTCTCCTGAACCTTCGGGGCCTTGCGGGGACTCCTCTGCTGTCCGGATGGTGAGGGCTCTCTGCTTCCCCACCCCGCGGGTGGGCTGTCCGGGGCATGTGCCCCGGGACATCTGCCACGCTGAGCAGGAACACCAACCTCCACCGCTTCACAGATGCCGGACTCTCTGGTCTCGGGCAGGACAGGCCCACACTCTCTGCCAAGGGCCACATGGCCCCTATTTCAGGGTCCGCCTGCAGTACTGTCACAACAGTCCTGCTCTGCCACTGTAGCATGGGCTGAGTCACAGATCATATACTCGTGCTTCTGAACTGGCTTGGCCTTGTGTCTGTAAAATTTACCTACAAGAACAGGAGGAGGGACATGGGTGCGCTGGGACCTCAGACTAAACCCATCCCGAGAGCAACCCCTAATCACAAGGGACAAGACAAGGGGTCGCACAGACTAGCGAACCCGTGAGCCTGACCCCGGAACCCCCACTTCTTACGGAGTGGGTCCCTCGCTCGCCGCAGCCTGACACCGTGAGGTCCGCTCTGGAGTGGGTCCGCGGGACTGTCCCACTTCCTTGCCCCACCCCAGGGCTGCTCCGCCTTTCAGAAAGGGACCCTCTCCAAGTCCGGGGAGCAACCGGCTGGCCTCATCTCTGTGCCTTTGTCGTCATGACAACCAGCCGGTTCCAGGAGATGGGGCTGCAGTTCTGGCGTTGGCACCGAGTCTGGGCACCGGCGACACCTCTGCGCCTTCCTCCGTCCCGTCCTCTGTCAAACGAGGGAGGGACATTCAGACGTGAGTCTCGTCCAGTTCCAGCTGCCTACAGTCCCAGGGGCCGGCAGGCTGTGCTCTCAGAGCGGAATGTGCCACTTGGCCCCCAGGCCGCCCGGCGGGTCCAGGACGGCAGGCGGGAGGGCTGGGTTCTAGTCTCATTCCATCCCTTCCACCCTCTGGCATCTGTGTCCTCATCTTCCATCCAGGCCATTGCCAAGGTCCCCTCAAACGTGGAGGTTCCCTGACCAGAAGACCCGCCAGGCCCTGGAGGCCATTTCCATCCATTCAGACGGGAGACGCCACCCAGTTTAACTTCTCTGCGCTGTGACAGCCACAGGCTGCCTCCACGGGCCCCTTCTCCTCGGTCACCGGCGAGCTCCCTGTCCCCCGCCAGGGATCCATGACAACACGGTTACCACCAGCTTGTCAAGTGCGGTGACATCTGCATTCCTGACGTTCCAATCTGGAGCTGGTTTTTTATAGCCGGCGCGGTGGGAGGAGGCTCCGACAGGATGGATTTAGCACCGCAACCCAGCGGAATCTGTCCTCCTTGGTCTGAACGAAGCTGCTCGTGGCTGCGGCTCACGGTTCCCCCCAAACTTTATCCCGTCCCTCGTCGGCTCCACCGTGACAAGCACGGTGACCTCACGGCCACTCCTGGCCGGTGGTGGGCCAGTCCACATCAGACCTGGCCCGAGCTGCGTGTCCCCACAGCTGGCCGGTGGGACTCGGCCCCAGAGAGCCCGCCGCATCAGTGGCCGAGTCTACAGAGGCCGTGGTCGGCGAAGGGCGGGGCCCTGTCCCCTACAGGCTGAGTCTTTAAGGACGTTTTCTGACAAGTGGGGCGGCCACCTCTGCTGCCGGGTGCCTCACAGGGACAAAGGCCTCTGTCTCACCAATTCCCTCGGTCCGTGTGTTCCGCCCTGTTCCCCAGGGCCGCCCCGCTCAGCCGGTTGTTCGGTGCAGGGGCCTTTCCTGCTGGAAAATCTGGACCCTAAGCTCCCACGTGTGAGTTGTGTCCTGGGTTTATCCGACAGGAGGCGGTAGGGAAAGCCCGTCTCGATGCGACGTTTCCACCCCCAGGAGTGCCGAGCCTGCCCAGGTGACACCGAGGCCCAGCGGGAACCTCGGGGGGACACCATGGCCCTGTCCGTCCCACCAGAGTCCCCTTGTTCCTCCCTCCCGCACACCGGAAGCCACTGTCTTCAGGGGGGGCCTCACCAGCACCTGCCAGTTCTGACCCTGAATCTCAGAAGCTGCCTGCGTTCAGTGCCGCCCACCCCCATGGCCCCCATGGCCCCTTCGGCTACGTATTCCCTCCCAGCCCCCGAGAAACCGGTGCTCACAGCGGCCTCGCAGCCTCCGGGCGGGGTCGAACTGCGCCAGCTCCTTCTCCACGTAGTACAGCACCTTCATGGAGTCCCGCTCCTTGTCGGCCTGGATCCGGTAGCCTTTGCGGACTGCGGAGGGAAGGGCGCGATGGTGAGCCGGCCACGTCGGGCGGGGCCCTTGTTCATGTCCCAGGTACAAAACATGGTTCCCAGAAGAACAGCCACCCGGACACCGGAACCTACGTCCACACCCAGGAGGTGCCCTCTGTCACGGACCGAGTCCTATCATGAGGGTTTATTTCAGTCTTTCGTTAACCCCCGCTTCCTGCCTTCCGCCTCCTGCAGCTCCACTTGGAAAGAGTCCCCCCTCCAGACCTCGGTCTGTCCGCTGACACACATACACTAGAAAAAGAGCGCTTTCCAGACCGAGCACCCAGGTCACCGTCTTACTGAGCATCACGCTCCCCTCGGGAGCACCTGCACCTACGACAGACTCCTCGGCCTCGGGGGCCTTGACAAAGGGGGCCGAGCCCCCCTAGTGGCCTGGGAGATGGGGCACAGGTTCCGTAACGGGGGTGCGTGGGCGCGAACAGTGGAATATCGGGTTATAGGCTCTGTACGCGTTGGTGCGGAAGCGAGACTCGGAGCCCGTGGGTCACTCGGCAGGGCTCCTCGTCTCCGTCAGCCTTTTCCTTTCAGGGGAGGGGACGCCGAGTTTTGGGTGCCAGCGGCCCAGCCTGCTGCTGTGTGGTCGCAAGCAGGCGTTATTTTCGGGGCCCACTAAACAGCTAAACTAAAGCCTCAGAGGTAACCCCCCTCCCACCTTCCTGCCCCTCAGCCTGTCGGGGCCCCGCAGCACTTAAATATGGGTCCGGTCCCACACCAGCCCCCGCGGCCCGAGGTCGGGGGAGAAGGGAGGACAGGGATGGGGCGCAGGACAGCAATGGTGACAGACGACATGGGGGGCACTGAACAGGTGCGGCGCGCTCGTGGAGGGCCCTCTGACGGGAGGTCCACCCGCCTGGACGTCTCGCCTGTCTTGGAGTCTAGGGTCCCCCGTGGGAAGGACAGACGAAGAGGAGGAGGAAGAAGAACCCAGAGCAGGGAGGGGCCTTCGGTGGCGAGGGCCCTGCGGCCTGAGGCGTGGTCCTGTCTTCCTGTCTCCCGTCAGGATGGTGGCACCAAGAGATGGGAGGCGACCCAACTCCAACATCCCTGTCCCCACCTCGAGGCGGACACGCAAAGAAACCACAGGGCCGCCTGCGCCCCGCGGCCGTGCCACCCACCCCGTGGACCAAGCCTCCCGCACGAGCCACGCACGTGGGAGATTAAAATAGAGCGTTGCACAGCCCTGGCACCGGAGACCGAGGGACGCCCCACGCGCCTGTTTCTATGTGGGAGCGGGAGGGGCAGCCCTCGCTCCTCTCAAACTGCGGCGTTACTTAAAAAATGAACAGATCTCAGCACACGCCCTCCAGCGCCTCCCCCCCAGGTGACATCCGTCCGTCAGTAGTCCTTTCACAGAGGCAATTATTAGCATAAATGATTCTATTCACCAAGCCAGGCGGCTTTCCGCCTCTGCACAGGCAGTTCCACTGACGCCTGTGCTTACCTCCCCCCCCCCCGCCCCGGAGCAGCCGTCTGCCCTGTGACAGGTGGGACACAGGGCTGGGGATGGGGGGCCGGTGTCCCATGGGCAGGCCACTGGTTGATCGGGGGACCCCAAGTCAATGGGGACCCCTTTAGGATTCTGTTTTCAGGCCCACAAAGGGCAACTAACGCTTCCCACCCTTTGAATAAGCTCTTGAAGGAAGACAACAAAGCCCGAATCGGCGGCACCGTCTGAGTTCTCCGTGATTACTGGGGGCAGCGTGAATGCCGCCTCCTCTAATGGGCTTCGATTTTCGTGGCTAGAGAGGTTCTAGCTCTTCTCTGTCCGTCTCACCCCTGACTTGTGTATCACTCAGTTTGAGTTCCTATCACGGCCTGTCATTATATTCTGGTTCATTTCAAGCTGTTTGTGTAAATGCGTGATCTTCCCACAGATTCTTGAAGGATAGGAGTAACTCTGGGGGGGGGAACGAAAACCTAGGCCCTCACTTCACACACAGTAGGGCGTGCGTGGTGTATGCAGAGCTGAACTGCGGCCTGGAGGTCCCTCCCTCCCCAGCACCCGGCTCTCAGCAGCCATTCAAAACGGGTGCATTTGTGGGAGGGAGGGAGGGAGGGAGGGAGGGAGGGAGGGAGGGAGGGAGGGACGGACGGACGAGTGGAAAGGAAACCAGGAACAGAAACGCGATCACAAGCGATGGCTCAGTGAGGCAGGGGAGGCCATGCGGGCAGGTGGCTGGTGGGAGGATTCTGACCTGGAAGGACAGGGCTCGGCTGGGAGCTTGAGGGAGCACAAGGGTTCGGTACATTGTGCATTATCATTATTATTGATTATTATGATGATTATTATTATCAACGATGACCTCCTACGTAAAGCCTGTTCGTAGCCTTCAGGGAAGGGGCCAAACTCCAGCTGTAGCTGTGGCTTTATCTCTAGGTGTTCTTAATGTGTGAAGCGCCCTCACGGTGAACTGTTGGTGATAAATACTGAGATGGGTGGGGGTGGGGGGCAGGTCGCCCTGTGGGACAGGTTGACTGCCCCCTGGTAGTGAGAGGTGGCCGCCACCCTGAGCAACAGCGGGAAACCTCTGGGTTAACAGCAGCTTGGGCCGGAGTTTAGTTGGTTCTGCACCTTTGTAACAAATTCCCCTCCTCTCCATGAGAAAGACTGGATTACGCACGCGCAGGCCCTCTGGTCCCTGAAAAGTCACAGGCACTGTTTGCAGCCTCACACGGAGATGGCAGTTCACCCGCTGATCTTGGCTGGCGGGGACATTCCCCGAGAGACCTTCCGCTTTGACTGCTCGCCCACCCAGACCTGTGACTTCAGAAACCTGACCCCTGTCATTTGTCAGAAAAGGATGGGCACGGTGCTGATCTGGAAGCCTCAGAGGCAGCACGCATTTGGTTCCGGGAGCTAAAAGGCCCGGCGATGCCCCCTGAATCGGTGTTGGGGTTTTTCAATAGTCAGCTCCCAGCCCCGCTGCATGGCACACTGTAAGGAGTTACATCCTGCTGCATACGCTGGGGACTGGCCGTGTCCTCAACGTGCTCGGGAGTAGATAAGACACCAGCAGGCCCTTCTCGGTCCCTCGGAGCAGATGGACCTTCCCTTCTCTGCGCCGGCTTGGGAGCCCCGCTTCGGCACATGCTGCTTTGCAGTCTTTACTCCCGTCATCCTCCCGGGCGAGCCCCCGCCACCCACACTGCTGGACCGCAGGTTCCTGCCAGGAAGGTCACAGGCCTTCATTACTTGTTTTCTTGATTTGAAAAGTAGTGGTGTCTGGTTGACTTTCGTAGGCAATTTGTCTGCAGATTGGAGGACTCGGATGTGTGGCGACATTTCCATAAGAAATGTCCTAGACCGTTGGCCAAAGTCCAGCGTTTTTGTGTAAAATGACTTTTTAAAAAATTCCCAGCGCTGTTTCAGTTTAGGGAGGATGGGTGATTTATCCTCTTCTCAAGCTCAGCCTGGCCCGAGACCTCCGGACGGCGCAGCCTGCTGTGCCAGCTTCTCCTAATTTATCAGCCTCGCCAACTTCGGGGTTCCCGGAAAGGGGGTGTGGGGATGTTCGCTTTTATGCCACAGTGTAATTTTTAAAAATTTCTCATCGTTAAAGAGTTTGAGCTAACCCTTTTGGCCCTAGGAAGGCAGAACTATTTCTCAGGGAACTTCTCCATCACAATCAAAGGAAACTTGTAACTCGCCAAGGATGTCCCTAAGGCAGGTGCTCCCGGATACAGCCCTGTCCCCCGCGCCCCAGTGTGACGGGCTGCCCGAGGCTGCCTGTGGGCGACTCGACAGCTGCCAGCCCCACCCCCGCCGACAGCAGCATCTCCGTGGGAGAGGCGAGGCTGGAAATCTGCATGTTCTCTGTGTGCATACAGTAGGCATATATATAGACGCACATCTTTATTAGTTCGGGAAATGACATTTCAAAACCCTACCTGCCTACTCAATTTTTTTTTTTTTTGCAAGAAGGATGGTGGATGTGATCATAAAACGGGGGAGAGCAGGGGAGGAGCAGACACAGAAGACGGGGCAGGGGCAGGAGAGGACTCCCTTCATCTGGGGGCAGCTGGGGCAGCGGGGATGAGGAGAGATGGATAATCAGGGGCCTCGAGGTTATCTGGAGCCGTGGTCTGAACGCCGTGGTGTCCAGTTAGACGAGGGGCGTGGGGGAGGGGACCAGAGGGGACCAAGGCCCAGCTTCTGCTTTGGGCTGGTAGGTGGATGGTGTCACCTGCCGAGGACTTGGGACAGGGACGAGCTGTTGTCCACAAGGGCAGGTGGGTTCGGTTTCCCAGAGATCGGGTTTGAGACGCCTGCAGGACAGCCAGGTGGGGATGTCCCGAGAGTGGCTGGACAGTGGGACGGGGGACCGGAGGGGAGGTCGGAGTCACCAGCAAACAGACAATGGGGACAGCCTGGGAGCCGGTACGGTTTCCCAGGAGCGGGTCCGAGCGGCAGAGGGTTTTGAGAAGTTCCGGGAGGCAAGGGTCGAGCAGGGTCCATTCCACCGAGCGAGAAGGTTTCTGGGTGGGGACGGCAGCAGTGAGAGGGCAGTCAGCTGGGGTGTGGACTGGGCGGAGGGCGTGGGGACATCAAGCACTCACAGCTGTTTCAGGGAGTGTGGCAATGAGCAGGCGAAAGGGGACAGGAAAGTAACATCGGAGGACTACAGGGTTTTCGGGGTTTGAGCACTTTCTTTTAGGGTTTTACTTACTTATTTTTAGAAAGATGGGGAAAGGGGGAAGAAAGAGAAGGAAAGAGAAAGAAACATCAGTGTGAGAGAGAAACCTAGATCGGTTGCCTCAATGCCCTCAACTGGGAACCTGGCCCACACCCCAGGCATGTGCCCTGAGTGGGAATTGAGCTGACGACCTTTCGGTTTGCCAGATGACGCCCAACCCACTGAGCCACACCAGTCAGGGCTGAGCGGGTATCGAATGCTAACAGGAAGGAGCTGCTAAACAAGGAAGGCTGGAGATGTGAGGTGGGATCTGGGTTCAGTGGGGACGTTCAGTAAGGAGAGAACCGTGACAGGTGGAGGGGACAGACCCAGAGCGGGGGGGGGGGGGGGCAGGTCTGTCAGGGTAAGAGAGGTCTCCACCAGCCTCCATGAAGGGTGGAAGAAGGAGCGGTGCCCCTCGCCTCTCCCCCACGCGGTAACCGACGGGCTGCCCTGCACACAGCTCCCCGAAGACCCCTGTCCAACCACAGAGCGTCCTGAGGGGACCCGAAAACTTGCTGTTGCCAGGTGACCGCCCCAACACCGAGGTAGCGTATCACTACGAAATGGGCCAAATTCACATCTTCTTAAGTTGCGTTTCTGAACATCTCCCATGTGCATCAGAGAACGATCTACACAGAACGCCGGTGTCATCAGTGATGGTGGCAGTGGGACCACAAGGACAGAACGTGCCTGGCGGGGACCGTAAAGGACAGCTCGGCCCTGACCTGCGAGCCGGAGGATGATGACGCAGCCAGGCTGGCCGTGGCGGGCTTAGTTGTGCATCCGCCAATCTTCCTCACTGACAGAGCCCTGAATCTTGTCCATTGCCAAGGTCAATAGGCATTTCCGCCCAAGAGATGAGTCCTGATCAGTCCAAGCCGGCCTGGTTTAGGAAGGTGCACGCGACTCAGTTCTGGCCAGGAAGACGGCAAGGAGTCAGCCAGAAGGAGCGGGACTTCTAGAAGCATCCATCCCCTCACGCTTGAGAAAAGCAGCACAAGGAAGATGCGAGCCCGCCTGCTGTCTCCGAACATGTGGGGTCCCTGGAAGGCGGCCGCGGCCTGGGGTAATGGGAACACTTGGGGGGACAGCCCCGGGGGAGAAGGAACAAGGTCCCTTGGGTCCACCCAAGCTGTTCTGTTGGCTGGCCCCAGGGCCACCTACCCCGGGGTTTCTCGCTCTGTGAAATCATAGATTTTCCTGTTTTTGAGGCCACTTCTCACTGCCGCTGGTCAATGTGGCTGGATGGGCCCAAACGAGGGCCCTGCAGAGAGTAGGCGGCTGGGAGAGGTGGGGCACAGGAGAGGGGAGTCTGCCATTCCGGAGAGGAACCATTTTATGACGAGCCTCCCTAATTAAAAAGGATGGGGAGGGAGGGCCCGGGGGAAGAAGGGGAAAGACTGGGGAGAAGGGACGCGGCGGGCAGAGCAGCAGCCAGTTTTCCGCCAGCGCCCCTCTGGCCCGTCCCAGCCTTCGGGGAGGCGGGCTTGCTGTCTCGTCTCTCCAGTCCCGTGTGTCCCCATCGTTAGCTTTTACTCCTCAGTCTGGGACCCCTTCCCGGTCTCAGGCGTGGGGGATTCTACGCTAGTTCCAGGGAGAGAAAGCACCCTGGTGCTACCCGCTCCCTGCAGACGCCCACCCCTCCCACGGCGGCATTAATGGTTCATGGAACCGGCCGGGCCGGATACCCCCAGGGCAGAAATGTCCACTCTCCCCCCCTGGTGGCCCAGCCTCATCTCGGGACATGAAAGTCACCTGACTCCGCTACTCCCCACGGTTCCCACTTGACTACCCTGTAACCCCGTTCAGGCACCTCCAGGAAGGTGACGCTTGCGTGCCCCGCCATCCTCTGCCCGGGGCCAGTTCCCTGTGTCCTGAAGGGGGCACGTTCCCAACGAGTTTGCCTCCGTGTGTCACACACCACTGGAGGCCTTGGTGCATCTCAAGGTCCCCTCCCCTCCCTTCCCCAAAGTCGTACTGTTTCCTCTCCCCGAGTGTCTGTCTGTCCAGCTGCCCACTGGGTTCAACTCCCAGTGTCTCCGTTCACAAGGTCCCGTGTCCTCCCAAACGACTTCCGTCACGTCTCAATCGGGGGTCTGACTCCACTCTCCCCCACTGACCACCTGCTTCGTCAGCCTGTCACCTCCTCACTCAGGACTCTGTCTGCCGTGACTGTCACCTGCCACTGCGCCAAGGGCCCCTTGGCCTTGGGAAGGGGGGTTCAGAGCTCCCCCATCCTGTGGAGCCAGACAGACGAGCTGGACACTGTCCAACACACATGGTGTGTTCTCCCAGCTCTGGCTCCCGCCCCCTGCCTCTTGGGGCTGCTCCGTGCCCCCCGCTCAGCTTGCTTGATTCTCCTGTTCCTCCGGGCCCAGCTGGGGTCCTGTCTCTTCCCTGAAGACTGGGCGACCATGGAGCCTGCTCTCCTAGACTCTCCCAGTCCCGTGCTCATTAGCATCTAATTGTCCTACGGAAGGTCCATCCTCTGCCCCTCCCTGGACCACACACACTACCAGGACACAAGCCACGTCCCACACTTCTGAGTGCCCCTCACTGTGTCCATTAGCCCCGAGCCTTGGGCAGGGATGAGAACACGATTTACTAACTTCTGTAGCGAACTGTCCCAAAGAGGCGTCCCTGAGCTCATGGCTGTCTTCAGCTAGGGACCAGCGTGTAAGCTGGGGCGGGGAGGGGGGACAGGGAGGTCCGGGACCACATTTACCACTGCGGCTTCCTCCAGTGGAGTCACTTGGAGCCAGGGGAGGTGGGTGCGGCTTGTCCATCAGCATGCCCGATGAAGGGGCTCCTCCCAAGGGGACGGGGGGGATGGAGTAGGGGCCGGGGACACGGGACACAGAGGGAGGGTACCCGGCCTTTGCTGCTTTCCCTGCTGCGTACACTGTGGGGGGAGAGGAAGAGCAAGAGAGGTTACACGGCCCCGCCCTCCACAACCCTCACACCACATGCCCCTGAGGGTGCACTTCAGGGAGCTCCTGGGTGTGTGCCTGTGTGTGCCTGTGCTCGTACATGCCTTTGTGCACATGTGCACATGCACGCATCTCTCTGCAACAGTGTGCATTGTGTGTTGATATGTGGGTGCACATGCACATGTGTCTGTGTGCATGCATGTGTGTACCCACGTGTGAGTGTACACACATGCTCGTGTGCACTTGTATACGCACCTGTCATGTGCCTGCGCTCACATGGATGTGCACGTGTGCCTGTTTCATGTGTGCACACATATGGGTACATTTTGCATGCATGTGCCTGCACTTGTGTGTGCATGCAAGTATGTGTGCTTTGTGCCCGTGTTTGCCTGTGTCTGCACTTGTACACGAGTGGGGTGTGTGCACGTGTTGCACATGTGGGCACGTGTTTGCATATGTGCCTGCGTGTGGCACACTTGGATGTGCAGGCATGTGCACACACGTGGGTGTGTATTTGCATGTGCATCTGTACTTGTGTGTGGGCACACGTGAGTGTGTACCTGTTTCCTGTGTGTGTGCGCATGGGAATGTTTCCACGAGTGTCTGCACTTGTGTGCACACACGTGGGTATATATTTGTGAGTGTGCCTGCACTTGTGTGTACATGTGTGGACATATGTGCACGTGTGCATGTGTGGGCATGTGTTTGCGTGTGTGCCCTGTGCATGCGATGTGTACACCCGTGGGTGTGTTCTCCTGGGCCTGAATCACCTCACAGACACACTCTCCCCCGCTCCCTGGGGCTCCTCCAGCTCCATCAGGAGGCGACGACAGCAGGAATTACGGTGTTTAGTACCAAGCAGCCGCGTCATCAGGCGGCGCTGGGAGCTGTGACAGCCGCCCACTCCCTACGGCACTGCCTGTAGGCGGCCTCTGCTGGGGCTGCCCGGGCTGCTGGGGCTGCCTGCAGGGGGCGGGGCCTCTTCCAGAGGGGCGGGGCCAGCAGGAGCTCTTTGCACAGGGCCCTCGGTGAGCCCGAGAGCAGAGCAGACCCCTGACTCCTCCAGGAAAGTGCTTTATTCCTGGGGGTGCTAAACATCCACGCTGTTGCTCTCCTACAAGAGGTGGCAGGGCTCCAAACTCCACGCCTACCCAGGCGCGGCCAGTCACGTGAACTTGGGACTCTCTGAAGGGGGACTGGTCCCTCTGCGCACTGTTTTGGAACTCGAGTGAATGAACTCCATCCGTGGCTGGGTGGTGCCCACGGCAGTGGTCTGCACTCTCGGGGGGGGGGGGCAGGCATGACCAGAGGCGGCTCCCTCGGGTGTGAATGCCCCAGGGGGAGGGCAAAGGCCTCCCCGCCACCTCACCATCCTGAACTTGCCCTTCCTGTCGTCATTCGTGTCAACGAGCACTCCGAACGCCACGTGACAGGTGTGGACAAAAAGCACGGAGAGGCGAATGGTGGCAAAAGGCAAATGAGGATGGTCAGCTCTGGGAGGCGGGGCTCCCGGTGGGGGGCGGGGTCTGGAATGAGTGACACGGGAGGGGGGAAGGGGGCAGAGGAGGGAGTGGGGGGGTGCACGGCCACCTGGTGGGCGGCTGCCCCCGGCCCCGTACTCACAGGCCTGCGGGCAGCAGCAGGAGTCAGGGCAGCACGGGCAGCGCACGTAGCAGCAGCAGCTGTGCGGGCAGCACTGGCACCAGCAGATGCCCACCAGGACGAAGAAGAGGAGGACTCCCAGGATCACCAGGCCGACGAACACCCACTCTGGAAGGACGCACAGAGAGCGCCGCGTCAGAGCGCACGGGCATGCGCGTCAGCGTCTCCCCCCCGAGTTGGGGGCCTGGGGCGGAAGGTACCTCGTCACCTGGCACACAGGCACACAGCCCCTAAACTCAGGGGCCCTTGGGCACTGAGATGTGTAGTCGCCTCACCTCGGTCCTACGGAGAACGCGTAGTGACCAGCACAGGCCCAGGGGGTGGGGTTTCAGGGACCCCTCCAGGGGAAAGGATTTGCCATGTTGACCACAGTGTCAGAACAAGCACGGGAGGCAGAAAGGCTCGCGCCGGGGGTAGGGGGGGCTTTATTTTCTGAACTATGACGTTGTGGGGTCCGTGGACATATATTTTGGGGGGTCTCGTTAATCTTGTCACTATAAGTGTACGTCCTGAGGAAAACTTCTCCATGTCCACCTGGCCTAGGTGGTCCAGGTCCCTAGGCGTCATCCATTTCCCTGCCCATCGCCCCTGGAATGTCCGTCCTGAGTTCAGTGTCAGGGCATGGACCTGTCCCGCAAACCATGCTGAGAGACAATGAGGGATGGGGTTTTAAACAGAAGACGCTGTCCCCACCTCTCACTTTTGGGACTTTCTATAGGGCCTGACACCCGCCCCCCCCAGGGGCCTGCAAGACTGCAGGGACCTCTGATCTCCCTTAACAGCTGCAAGATTAGAGCCATTCATTTTGATGGAAAGTCATCTACCAAAAAGCCCTCTGCATTGGACTTCAATTACGTGCTGTTTTTCTTAAGCGTGGGTTATTCAATATTCCTTCAGTTAAAAGGGCATTCAGTGACATTTTTGTCATATAAAGGGTTTTGTGATGAGGGTAACGTTAGGGGACCTTCGCTGAGAACGTAATTTCCTGAGAGAAAGCAACTTCTCTTTCCTGAACGTCCCTCCTCGCTCATCCTCCTGAAATGCGTTCAAACTAACCCGGTCGTGCTCTCTTTAGAGAGGGGATGAGAAGACCTTGTGCCTGGCTAGGGTGGCTGGAGAGTGTCCTGCCGAGGACAATGGATGGCTGAGGGCTCTGGCCTGGGTCTTAGAAGTAACATAGTCACAGCGTGTACCCTGAGATAGAGGGAGCCCTGTGCACGGGATGAGCTGTGGGTCCGGCAGTCAAGGAAAAAAGACTGGTGGGTACCCTCGCGCAAACATTGTAACCTGTGAAAAGGCTCTGCAGGCAAAGGGAGCGGAATCCCGGCAGCCAGGACCAGATTCGAAAAATACAGTAACTCTTTCTTGGGACTGGGGGATGCGACTTCTAATTTGAAGAAGCAATGCAAGGTAACATTGTTTCTTTCTTTCCGGGGACCGAGTGGTACATACTGACCCAATTCCGGAGAAGGGGGCTCACAGAGAGACACCTCTTTGTGTTCCTGGGCTCAGCAGGAATAAGAGAATGTCTGTACTGGGGCAGGTCAGCGAAGGGGACAGAACCAAAAGAATTCCTGGAAAAATGAGTGAAGCTCAACCGGGAACACTTCTGATGTTTCTTAAACCTTGGATCGAGTCAAAAGCAATGGCCAGGAATGTTTTGTATCTCTGTAGCTCTGAACCATGAGGCAGCTCTTAAGTCTTGGGCAAAACCTCTCCACGGCAAGACGGAACCTGCTCCTCCTCCCCGAGATTGGCTGTGCCCTCCCCGTGGTCCCTTCTGGTCTCTCTCTGAGCCTGCTTCCGTCGTGGACTACAGGGCCACACCAAACTCACGTTGGCTTGTCCAGGCTGGTGCATTCAACTCAGGCCACGTAAAAAGTCAGAGGGGTGTGTGCATTTGGGACAAGTGTCCTTGACCTATGGTCTGCAGACACTCCCCAAGGACTCAGGGGCCCCAGACGGCCCTGAAAGTGTACACAAAGCAGACCAGGTATGTAGATGCGTACCTCCAAGGAGGGAGGGGTGCATGGCTGAAGTTATAAGTGGCGGTTCAGAGTAACACGGTTGCAGACTAAATGAATGGGCACACGCATAACTTCAGGCATAAGGAATGCAGACAAGTAATGACCCGGTTAAGGTGCTTAGAACTCTGCGTGTGGCTGAGACACGGAGGGGGGCAAGGAGGGGGCCTGGCACGGGGAGACCGGGTCCCCATCTCGGCCCACTTCGAATTTCCATTATTCTTTCAGGGTCTAATAACGGGAGATACACAATTCAAAGTCTCTCCCAATGGGCTTAGTCGTTCATCCTGGAAAGGACCACAGACACGGGGAGACACGAATGTGAATAAACTGAAGGGAGCAGTCAGTGACTCATGCAGAAGCAGGCAGATGGAGGGACAGCGAAGCAGGCAGATGGAGGGACAGCGAAGCAGGCAGATACGCGAGTCTGGGGACTGAGTACCTGGCATAATCTCCACAGCAAAACTGGGCAAGAGGTCAGCAAGCAGCCCTGTCCTGCCTAGAAGAGGTAGAAGGGGAAGAGAAGGAAAGAGGTTACTCCCCAGGAAAACAGCCCGCAGCCTGGCCACGGTGGGCGCCGTCCCCACGCTGGGCACTGGCCCACGCCCGCCGGGGCACTCGAGGCCCATCACAGCAGCGGCCGGGCTCGGTCCAGAGAATGGCCTTCCCGGCCGGTCTCCGGCAGCCCTGTGAGTGGCCCGGTGCCCGCATCAGGTGGACGCAGTCGGAGTAACTGCTTCTGCTCCAACTTTTTACAGGAGGAGGAAATCTCCGCTTCAACTAAGAAAAGCCTGCGGGAGCAGACCCACACGCACCATGTCCACTCACTGCACTTCCTTCTCTGCACCCAGACGTTCAACCTACATTTCCAAACATCCACAGACACCTCTGAGTCCGTATAAAAACAAAGTACGTGGTAGATTTTAACTTGGGGTTTTCCCACTACACGATTCTGTTTATGGCCTGGAGATCATTCAACGATTAAAATTTTCAAAGGCAAGGAAAGTAAGCTACGTCGGTCACACACACTTCTACGCACCTTCAGGCTTTGACAGTCCTCTGCGCATGGGTCTATGGTAGGGCTTTCCCACAGGGCGCCCACAGGGGGCGCTGTGTGGACCCAGGTGCCCTGTGCGTGGCCTGGCAGAGAAGCTGCAGGGGCTGGTGCCAGAACAGGTGGCCCGAGACTCCCGCTGGCAAGGAGCCCTGCAGGAAATGGGTCCCCGGAAGACCTGGGGAGCCTGACCTATAGAAACTGCTCTTGGCACGTTCTCCCATCACAGGAAGTGTCAGGGCCCTGGTGGGACATGTGCCCATGCCAGACACCTCTGCTACACGCAGTCTTGCTTGTAAACGAGGCACCGTAGGAACCAGTGAGCCAGCTGCCACCTTCCAGGCTTGGGCTGGCCAGAGGTCCCCATGGCCCCTGAATGCGGAGTCATCTGTGTGTGTGTGTGTGACATGCTTCCAGAACCGTAGAGCGACGGGTCATTCTTACTTGTCTAGTAATCACATCCAAAGAAGAAAAAGCATGAAATGAATGGTATTTTCTATTTACACCAATATAGCCCAAATATGGACACTTCAAAGGCTCGGCCTATGAGCTCAATACTGCTGGGGTCTGGTTCAGTCCTGTTGGGGGGCACTGGTTCCATTCCTGGTGAAATTTGTGGATGGAGCGCAGAGAAAAAGTCACATGTGTGGTTTACACTTTGGGCTGGAAGGTCATGGCCGGGCACTGTCCTTTCCTCTCTCAAGCTCCGCCTGCCCCCAACACAGAAAAGCAGCTCTGAAGGGGGTTGAAGAAAGAGGAGTGGGTCCAGGCCATCATTTGGGGGGTGATGCTGGACCAGGGCAAGTGTTAGGGACTCGGGGAAAAGGGGTTTTTGCTCCCTCTGCTTTTTCTTGGTTCTCCTCCACTACCAAGGCTAATGTGGTAAATGCGTGCCGGCCACATGTCCTACAGGCACAGGTGATGGTCCCGCATTTAAAAGTCTTTTAGGACCAGAGCTCATTCCAAGGGACCCAAAGCACGCCGTGGGGGACTCAGGCCAGTGCTGGTGTGGTTTGGGGCCAGGAGAGCTCCCTTCTGTCTGCAGCCTGTCATGTGCGGCCGACATGCTCAGAACAGTCCAAGGCCTTGAGGGGGGCGGGGGACATGTGAGAGCCACGGGAGGCACTGGGAAAGGCGTCCCCAGGGGGGACCTGTGCCAGGCTTCAGCCTGAGCCTTCATGAGAGGCTCAGAGGAGCTCACACGGGTCTGGTCCGGTTCTCTAGGATGGGAGGCCAGACTGGGTGGGGTTTGGGGCAAGGTCTGGGCAGTGATCAAGAGCATCCGCTGGCCTCATCTGGAGTGTTCTCTGTGCAAACATCTCTTGGGAACTCAGCAAAGCGATAGACAGCTGGCTAAGCATTTGGGACCTTGGGATCTTGGACCTCTCTTAAAGGCGTAATTAATATTAATTTCCAGCCAAGGGCCCATGATCAGGAAATCAATACATGGTGTTTTTAGCAAGCCAATTATCACATAGTTAAAGAAAAAACAAAAACAAAACCCCTGGACAATTAGCACTTCTAAGTGTATCTCTTATTGTATCCAGTAAAAGAAGTTTCTCTTGCTTTTACTCTCTGGTTCTCAAGCCTACCAGTGCCGAAGCCTCTCCAGACTCATTAATTACACTCACAACAGAAATAGTATCGATGATACGAGCTGCCAATCTGTGCGTTCCCACAGGAAATTAGCCATGATAGTTATTAACTGTAAGAACCCAGACATTCGAGGGGGAACAGTGCTCAGACGTGGCCACGGAGCGTGTCGTATTGGAGAGAGCAGCAGATGGGGGGGGGGCTCAGCGAGGTTCCGCCCGGCGTTTCCATGGTGATGACTACAGGTAAACCACTTCTCTTTCTGGGCCTCAACGCTCTCCTGAGCCAAAGATGTAGGCCGTACGTAGGGAGACCATTTGGCTGGGTTTGTCGGGGACCGTCCCGGTTTACGCTGGTTGTCCTGGGGTGCTTATTCACAGCCCCCCTTATTACTCCTGGTATAGGGAACCCTGTCTGGGCCATTTTTGGTTCTCAAATCTGATACTCAGTGACTGGGGTTGCAAAGGCAGCTCTCCCAGTCTGTAGGGACCGGCAGGGAATGCAGAAGTCTGGGGGCGTGGCAAACGGCAGATTCTGCGTCTGGAGGGGCTGCCACTGCCCACGTCTGGCCAGCGGCTGCCCCAGACAAGTGTGCCTTCAAGGTTAACCAGACCCCAGGTTTTTTATGTGAAGTGTCCTGATGTCTGGATGTTTGCGACCGATTCAAGACTTTTAAAGAACACCAGATAAGCCGTACAAATTGGGGCTGGGGCTGTCTGCAGCCTGAGATCACGCACTGCCAGGCACCCATAAGACACGAAAGCTGGATTCCTCCACAGGCTCTGCGGACCTCCATGGCCTTCTGATCCTGCTTCTACACCCAAACATTGGTGCACATAAGTTCTAGACACCTGGGCCCCAGTCTGAGAGTATCACACCCCACGCCGCTGGCTCCTCCCACTTCCGGGGAGCTGGAAGGGGCGTGGGAAAAGCATGCCAAAGGGGCTTCCGTTTTTTAGATTTTTTTTTTTTGACATTTGTAATTGAAGAAACTAAAATAAGGAGAGACCGTCAGGAATGCAGACGGGGACTCACAGAGCTTGTCGCTCCACAGAACGGTGGGCGTCCGGCTTCTCGTTCTCCTGGAAACCACAGCCCACGGCTGTTTCAGAAGCAGACGCCACGGCTTCCCACGGTGCGCCGGCATGGCCGGCCCCCCGCTGGCCTGGCAATACACTGTCACGGTCCAGAGGGGAAAGTCAAAGGTCTTTGTAGTTGAGACCAGTCGGAGTTTGGGGAGAGTGGACAGTGTCACCCCATCGTGCCCACAGTGGACAGAGTGCAGGTCTCCGACTTTGACACCGTGACCTACATTCCCCTGGACTAAAGGTATTTTAACGCGCTGGTTTCTGCTGGGACTCAGTTTCTGAAAAGCATTCTGCTTCCATCTTGTTGCCTGGCGATTCCGGAGAAACGCTGCCATTGGAAATGCTCTCCCCTTCCTTCCTGTCCTAACCGGTCACGTCCACTGAAGGCCTGCCCGGGGGAGCGTCCCAACAATCGGGGCAGACCCATGGCTGCTTTCACCAGCTCTCCGCCAGCACCGTGACTCACGCTCGTCCCCCTGCGTCCGGTGGAAGAGCGGCGGTTCCGCGTCCCTTGAATGTCTGAGGAAGAGACGAAGACAGACCCCGCCAGGAGAAGGCCCCACTTTCTCTTTTCGCAGTTCAAAGGGTTCATGAAAATTAGTTTTCATGCAGGGCCTCAGTTCTCCCCGAAGCTTGCAGAACCCAGGACTGCTAAAAAATTTATTTCCCCGTGAACTGACTGAACGACACAGGCATACTAATCGTTAGTACAAGCTCACAGGGGTACCAGTGTCATAGCAAAGTGTCCCACGGGTCGTAGCCCAGAGTAGCCACAGACCTCGGGTTGGACGATCAGGCAGAAGCACGCACTGCGGATCGAACGACTTGCACGTCGTCCCTCCACCGCCCCCCACGGCAGCGGCCACCTTGTTCTCCCCGTGTTCGTATTCCTGGGAACCATTATTTCCGGAGTGTCTCCAATTCATTCACGAGTCCTTCACTCATTCATTCGATCAACAAAGGCTCGCATGTTGCACCAGGCAGAACAGGACGGCATCCCCAGACTGGAGAGGCTCCGGGCTAGCCCGTGCCCGTGTCCGGCAGTGACAGTGTGAGAGCCCGGTGTCAGCCATTCACTTTTTGTCCCAAGACTTAGCTGAGGTCAAGCACATTCTTCCTGCCAAAAGCAGTGGTTCCGTCAGCCTTTCCTGCACGTTTGACCTTGGCTGCCTGCTGGTCCCGGGGCCTTCCCCCAGAGATCTGGTGTTGGCGAGGCACTGTGCCCAGCAAACCCCGTCCTAGCGACATTTCCCAGAGATTCTAAGACTCCCTTCGTGGTGGGCCAGGCCCCCCAAGGCAGGACTTACTCCCCTTCTTTGCCGAGAGCACCGCTCGCCCACGTCCGACTGTCCCACCTTGTTCAGATCCGTACTACACACAGCGTCCGAGGCTCTGCCCTGGACCGATGGCCCGGTGAGAAAGCTGCCTGGGGAACGAGTGTCCGCCACGCTCAGAGGGCCGCCAGACACGCCCGCAGGGTGCCCCTTCACACAGGGACAGAAACCCTCCGGGGCAGGGACTGCGTTCGAGGCGTGGCGTCCTCAGCAGTGGGGTCCCTCCACCGCTCGGGCCCTTGCGGTGTTTCCCGTAGCGAAGCCCCACTGTGGGCTGCGCTGGCTTCTGACGGGCGTCTGGTCTGTGGCGTCTCCACCAAGCTACACCAGCCAGGGCACGAATGTTTCTTTTCCAGGTGCGTGAGGAGAGTGCACACCTTTCTCCCGCCTCGGAAGCATAAACTTGTTTCTGCAGCAATTTGGAATTTCA